TATAAATAAAATACTAAACTCGCTCCCGTGTAAAACCAATTTAAGGAAACTCGTGAATAGTTGTGGTAAACTTGGTATTACACGGGGGCTCGTTTAGTTTTCTATATGAATAGTTTCTCCGGCAGTTTGCTTCTCTGTTCATCTTCATTCTCGTCTGTAACGAGGACGTCCATCGGGTGAGTCTTGTCCTCTGGGTTCAGGGTGAACCTCTTTAACTGTTTGACCCTATGTACAGGTGAAAGTCCTGAATGGTATCCCACTTCGAGATACTCTGATGACTCTCTGTGCATTCTTTATTGATTCCCCTCGATAAACATCAAACACCCTGTCAATGCGCCCTAAGGCTGATGAAAGGAAGGCTTTGGAAACGTCAGCAAACGACTTATGATTTGAATCCACCAGTATTGTTTGGTTCGAGTGCCATTCCATCTATTCAAGCTGAGTTTTCTGGTATAGATTCTACTGGTGACAATTCGTTCTTGAGACGTTGAGTCAGAGCTGCCTAACTTGTTTACCTGATCATGGTTCCTTTGGATTAACCAAAGCCCACCAAGGTAGTAAACGTCGAAGACCTGCTTCACTTCAGGCTTTCGTCGCCGTGACATGACTGGAAAAAATTGTTAAAAGCGGCGCTTAATCAAACACACTCACATTCACCAGTAATATAACATACATACACCCGTTATCTAACATAAACATACAGCAGTAATACAACATACACGTATTGTAGCACTATAACATACACATTCCTCAGTGATATAACATACACGTACAGTAGCACTATAACATACACATTCCTCAGTTATACAACAATCACGTACAGTAGCACTATAACATACACATTCCTCAGTGATATAACATACACGTACAGTAGCACTATAACATACACATTCCTCAGTTATACAACAATCACGTACAGTAGCACTATAACATACACATTCCTCAGTGATATAACATACACGTACAGTAGCACTATAACATACACATTCCTCAGTTATACAACAATCACGTACAGTAGCACTATAACATACACATTCCTCAGTAATATAACATACACGTACAGTAGCACTATAACATACACATTCCTAAGTAATACAACATACACGTCCAGTAGCACTATAACATACACATTCCTCAGTAATATAACATACACGTACAGTAGCACTATAACATACACATTCCTCAGAAATACAACATGCACGTACAGTAGCACTATAACATACACATTCCTCAGTAATACAACATACACGTACAGTAGCACTATAACATACACATTCCTCAGTGATATAACATACACGCACAGTAGCACTATAACATACACATTCCTCAGTAATATAACATACACGTACAGTAGCACTATAACATACACATTCCTCAGTTATACAACATGCACGTACAGTAGCACTATAACATACACATTCCTCAGTAATATAACATACACGTACAGTAGCACTATAACATACACATTCATCAGTAATACAACATACACGTACAGTAGCACTATAACATACACATTCCTCAGTAATATAACATACACATACAGTAACACTATAACATACACATTCCTCAGTAATACAACATGCACGTACAGTAGCCCTATAACATACACATTCCTCAGTCATACAACATACACGTACAGTAGCACTATAACATACACATTCCTCAGTAATATAACATACACGTTCAGTAGCACTATAACATACACATTTCTCAGTAATACAACATACACGTTCAGTAGCACTATAACATACACATTCCTCAGTGATATAACATACACGTACAGTAGCACTATAACATACACATTCCTCAGTAATATAACATCCAAGTACAGGAGCACTATAACATACACATATCTCAGTGATATAACATACACGTACAGTAGCACTATAACATACACATTCCTCAGTGATATAACATACACGTACAGTAGCACTATAACATACACATTCCTCAGTAATACAACATACACGTACAGTAGCACTATAACATACACATTCCTCAGTAATACAACATACACGTACAGTAGAACTATAACATACACATTCCTCAGTGATATAACATACACGTACAGTAGTACTATAACATACACATTCCTCGGTAATACAACATACACGTACAGTAGAACTATAACATACACATTAATCAGTAATACAACATACACGTACAGTAGCACTATAACATACACATTACTCAGTGATATAACGTGCACGTACAGTAGCACTATAACATACACATTCCTCAGTAATATAACAAACACGTACAGTAGCACTATAACACACCCATTCCTCAGTAATATAACATACACGTACAGTAGCACTATAACATACACATTCCTCAGTAATACAACATGCACGTACAGTAGCACTATATTATACACATTCCTCAGTAATACAACAATCACGTACAGTAGAACTATAACATACACATTCCTCAGTTATATAACATACACGTACAGTAGCACTATAACATACACATTCCTAAGTAATACAACATACACGTACAGTAGCACTATAACATACACATTACTCAGTGATATAACATGCACAAGTAAAAAAGCATATGTATAATGCACTAGTAATATTACATACATACACGCTTATTAATGTAATGTATACATGGACTAGAAATATAACAAGCACACTTAGGAGTAATATAATGCTGGTAATAAAACATACACAAACAGTGAGCATGAATGATACATTCCTCATATAACATATATGATATAACATACACATGGACTAGTGGGTTGGTTTGTTGTTTCACCACGCACTCATCAATAGTCTGGCTATATGACGGCGGTCTGTAAATAATCGAGTCTGGACCAGACAATCCAGCGATTGATATCATGGGTATCGATCCACGCAATTGGGATCGATGACATGCATCAACCAAGTCAGCGCACATGGAGTAGTAATATAATACACACACATACTAGTACACATAGACTAGTAGCATATCAGCAGGCACACATCATTACACACGTTAGTAATATAACACACACAAAGACTAGTAGAATATCAGCAGGCACACATCGTGACACACACTAGTAATATAACACACACAAAGACTAGTAGAATATCAGCAGGCACACATCGTGACACACACTAGTAATATAGCACACACAAAGACTAGTAGAATATCAGCAGGCATACATCCTGACACAAGCTAGTAATATAACACACACAAAGACAAGTAGAATATCAGCAGGCAAACATCCTGACACACACTTGTAATATAACACACACAAAGACTAGTAGACTATCAGCAGGCACACATCGTGACACACGCTAGTAATATAACACAGACATAGGCTAGTAGATTATCAGCAGGCACACATCGTGACACACGCTAGTAATATAACACACACAAAGACTAGTAGAATATCAGCAGGCATACATCCTGACACACGCTAGTAATATGACACACACAAAAACTAGTAGAATATCAGCAGGCACACATCGTGACACACGCTAGTAATATAACACACACAAAGACTAGTAGAATATCAGCAGGCACACATCGTGACACACGCTAGTAATATAACACACACAAAGACTAGTAGAATATCAGCAGGCATACATCCTGACACACGCTAGAAATATAACACACACAAAGACTAGTAGAATATCAGCAGGCATACATCCTGACACACACTTGTAATATAACACACACATAGACTAGTAGACTATCAGCAGGCATACATCGTGACACACGCTAGTAATATAACACACACATAGACTAGTAGAATATCAGCAGGCACACATCGTGACACACGCTAGTAATATAACACACACATAGACTAGTAGAATATCAGCAGGCACACATCGTGACACACGCTAGTAAAATATCACACATATAGACAAGTAGAATATCAGCAGGCACACATCGTGACACACGCTAGTAATATAACACACACATAGACTAGTAGAATATCAGCAGGCACATATCGACACACATGTTAGTAATATAACACACACATAGACTTGCAATTTATCAGCAGGCACATATCTCGACACACGCTAGTAATATATCACACACAAAGACTAGTAGAATATCAGCAGGCACACATCGTGACACACGCTAGTAATATAACACAGACATAGACAAATAGTATATCAGCAGGCACACATCGTGACATACGCTAGTAATATAACACACACACATAGACTAATAGTATATCAGCAGGCACACATCGTGACACACACTAGGGCTATAAAATACACATCCAACTGAACACTACGAGTATTTTGTGGAACTTGGCCATGGTCTTGACATTCTGTCTGGAGCCAAGGGGAAACGCCACAAGGAGTCATACTTTGAATAGAAAAAGAACGCTACTGGGCAGCTCGACTTGCGCTTAAAAATGTCACGTTGAAGACCAGTTTTCATCATGAGTGATCCAATTGGTTTCAAGTAACAATAGAAAGTGTTTCATTTTCTACACAACTTGTCAGCCTGGTGTTTGAGAAAAACCGGAGCTTATGCTTTTCTTTCTACTTTGGTAAATAGAAACGACAAAACCCTTTCCATATCAATACGAAATATCTGCTAAAACCACAAGAATAGTATCGTTGACACGCCTAAATTCATAATCAGACTGAACAGGATTCGAAATCACGACTGAGTTTCTGGCAAGCATAAGGGGACATCGTACAGCTGGAAAACGTCTTAGCGTGTCGTTAAAAAAGAAGATAAATTATCGTTATAAGATTGTAGAAATTATAATGAACAGGCATCGCTCTCCTCTGTTGCCTCTCTGTGTGCCCAACCTCGTACTTTCATCTGGAGAGCCTACTTGAGACCAGCATAACAATCTTTGTGTTGTAACGCCTTAGTTAATTATCCCAGGGATGCAGGAAGTCGCGGCCTGGTGCTTGTTGAATACCGGATACGTATTTCAACTTGTAATTACTGACTAATATGCAGCACGTACGCTTAGACCATAGAGATTGCGAAGGTTAAACGTTTCCGTGGACATAGTACTGGACTTTTCAGTACTGATAGCGTTAAGTCTTCATGCCCACCAACATAATACAGTAAAACAACACAATAATGTGCGACAGGCTGAAGCATTCGTAGATAATAATATGGGTGTTTAGGACGGTTGATATGTGAACCCACATTCGTAATTCTCGTGACTCTTAACGGATTACTTAATGTTGTCTAGATTAGATATGTGAAGTGAGGTACTTCAGTTTGATACCGGCGAGTGATGTCGATGAATTTTGATATTTATTGTAATTCCAAGTTAAGTGACCGAAGCAAGGAGATGACTGCCACTGCCAGCTGACAGACGTCATTAATACTGTCAGTCATCAATCATTAGACCGTTATCAATGGTTCTGAGACGAATGAAAGTCTCTATGGAACCCATGTTGACACCTTAGCAGATGAATATGTCCATGGAATAATGAATCATCGGTCTCAAATAAAAGAAAAGGAAACAACGTTGTGTATTTCTAGTTTTCATGAAACTAATTTAGGTTAAATATCAATATTTTCAAACTACACTAAACTATCACCAACAATAGATTAACGTTTCCGAGCTAGGAAACCAGAGTGCTGCCAAGTGTGACTGCAAACTATCGTTCTCTCTGCCCCGGATGTGCACAGTGCCAGGACATGGCTTCACTTGCCCCGGCCAATTAACTGCGGACATTGTTAGTAACTGTAAAATCTCTGTTTAAACGAAACAAGATTTAGTTGAAGACGACGCACGTTGGAATATGGATATGTCAGCGTTCTGGGTCTTCTGGTTGGTCTATGTGAGCCGTCTTGTAACAGGGTACTCGGAAATAGTCGAGAGCGTGAAAGGTAAGCCTGGTTTGTAAATTTTCTGTATGCCTTTTTTGCATTCGTAGTCTGAGATGTTATAATTATATGTGCAGAGTTGCGCCCCTTTGCGTTAAAGGAAAGTTGATTATGAGTTCTAATCCCAATTAAAGTTGAAATAGGCTTGAGCAAGTTGACAGTCCTAGCACGTTTGATTAACTCGTTTCAACAACACGTATGCAACTTTTACGATAACTGTCTCTCCGGCAGTTAAGTATTGCCCTAAATTATCCCAAATAACCTTTCAGTTGCATACATGACATAAAGCAGAAAGTCTAGATGAAGATTGAAAATAACCACGGAGCATAAGAATCACATTCACTCGTACCCGTGCTTGTGGGTTTCACCAGAATGGTAAGCGTCTAGGGCCTGCACTTTGGCCTTAGCCTCACATTAATCTGACACGCTGTGAAATACTGCTCACACCCAAAACTCTCACTCACCTCGAATGAAACTTGCTATGGTTTTAAAATGTCTCGCTTACTCAATCTTGAGTCATTTATGCAATACTATTAAAGGATTTATATTTCTTTGCTGTGAACGAGGGAAGGAGTGAAAAGAAACGACTTCACAGAGGCTTCATTAATGTAAACCAGATCTATGCCCTAAATAGCAAGGTTAACACTAGGGCAACAATATTTTCAAGTATATAATGCACGTGGAAAGTATATGCCCATTGTTAACAGAGATTACGAGGAGTCAATCAGATGACACACTCAACCTCAAATTACTAAGTGAGTTTGGTTTTACGCCTCATTTAGCAATATTCCGGAAATATCACGGCGTACCCATGTGGAGAATGGAACCAGGGGAGAACGCTTTAACCACTAGGTTACCGCACCGCAATGTGAAATAACCAAATCAACTGAATGTTCATTGTTAAGATCTGAATTGTGCATTATCAGTAGAAACGGTGGATCCGTATGTTGGCGTCAAATGTCATAAAAATAGAACATCACGCATTTAAAGCTTTGTTTGAGGGTGCTAAAAGGGCTTCATCTTGTTCAATGAAAGATGCTTGAACCGTTAACCTCCCAATCGATTGTCTGGTTTCAGCATATGTAGTGATGATTGCACCTATTCTACTATATGGGCCTGAAACATGGGGATTTGGCTATTCTGAACTTATAGACAGAGTACATCTAAAGTTCCTTAACCTTGCCTCTGGGCTAAAATCTTCAACCTCCAACTTCATGGCGTATGGTGAACTTGGGAGAGTACCCTTAAACATCATAATGCTGTCATAATATTGCAATAGAAAGTAACTCGAAACAATGTCAAACGTATTATGCAACCTAATGATGGCTGTCCGTGACTGTTTCAATTTTTGGCTAAATTGTATAGAGCAGTTACTTAAAAAATTAGGCTTGATCGAAGTATTTCTTATATCTCATATTTTCATAACGAATGGATTGCAATAACTGTTGAAAGAGTGCTAAAGAATATATTTAACAAAAATGGAGTAGCGATAATTTAGCTAGATCAAAAGGTAATCACCAGCGATTTCTTATCGTATTTTCAGCTATGTAACAAATAATAAGAATCTACCGGTTGAAACAGGCCGTTGACATGGGATATCTTGTGAACAAAGAAGCTGTACATTACGTGTATCACTAGCTAATGCCGACGAATTCCATTATATTTTTCGTTGTGAGGCATTTACTGCTTAAACTTATCTAAAAAGTACCCATGTTGGAACAAGATGCTCTCTTTCCAATGCCTATTTTGTGCATCTAATTTGAAGGAAATGAAATTTTATCTAAGTATATTAATTACATGCTCTAACTAAGATCTAAAGAAGCTAAAGTCACCTTGTCAATATTATATTCGAAATAAGTAATACATTGCTCTTGCACCACCAGCGGTGATTTATGGAAAACAAAAAGTTCTGAAGTTCTGAAGTTCTGGGGATACCTATAGTTCCCTGTCCAGTGTACAAACTACATTACACGTTATCACAGAGGTTGGCAAACAACGTCACAAAACCACTGTTAATGAAATGTGAAATGTAGCCATAAGGAAACAATGACTACAATGAACGTTAATTCACGAATAAGATAGTCTGAAAAAACGAATATATATCTGATTCATATGACCAAAACACCATGCAGTGATCGTATGGCAGGTTATAGAAACTAGATTCCTTTTTTAGTCTCTCACCTGTACATCAGGACTTTCGTTATTACTAAACTGATAAATTCTGCGCCACAATCTGCGATACCAACGTGGACCATTGTCACAGATAGTAAACCTGACCCTGGGCCCTGTTCCACAAAGCGATTTCAGCACTAACTGAACAATTACTGTCATGCGACCGCCTCTGTGGTCCGGCGCGCGGCATAAGAAGATAAAACAAGAACTCGTCAGCTTGCAGTATAATGTGTGCTAGTGATATTCAGTTTGATATTTTTTAAACGGCCCACTAAGTCTTGATCAGTAAGACCAGATACACGCACGCACTAATGCACACACATGCACACTCACGTCGATATATAATTCAACTGACCAGAACTGCCACAATTCAATACAGACACACACATTAACACACACACACACGTATCAGTAAAGGCACATACACACACAAGAAACACGCACACTCATGCGTATCAGTACACACACACGCATCAGTACACACACACACACACATAAACACACACATAAGTAAAGACACACACACAAAAAAACACACACGTATCAGTAAACACACACACACGTATCAGTAAAGACACATATACACACACAAACACGCACACTCATGCGTATCAGTACACACACACGCATCAGTACACACACACACACACACACATATATAAACACACACATAAGTAAAGACACACACACACACACACAAACCATACACGTATCAGTACAGACAAACACACACAAACACACACACACCTATCAGTACATACACACGAATAAACACACACACATATCAGTACAGACACACTCACAAACACACACACGTATCAGTACAGACACACATACGTATCAGTACAGCCAAACACACATAAACACACAAACACATATCAGTAAAGACAAACGCACATATACGTATCGGACACACACAAATATACACAAACATATTAGTACAGACACACTCACAAACACACACACGTATAAGTAACGACACACATACGTATCAGTACAGACACACACACATATCAGTAAACACACACACGCGTATCAGTAAGGACACACACATAAACACATCATATCAGTACACACACACATAAACGCACACACATATCAGTACAGACACACCCACATAAACACACCCACACGTATCAGTACAGACAGACACACAAACATACACATAAACACACACACACATAAACACACCCACACGTATCAGTACAGACAGACACACAAACATACACATAAACACACACACACATACACACACCCACACGTATCAGTACAGACAGACACACAAACATACACATAAACACACACACACATACACACACGTCGATATATAACTGAACTGATCGAAAATGTGTCTCCGTGAAACCATATCGGCCATGACTCACACTTAAATGTCACACGTGAACAAGGTATCATCATGTATTTACAAATTTCTAACCTTTTGTAGCGGTAATTTGTTTGGGCGCTAATATTTCCTTCATGAGATACCCTGTGAGTCTGGTGAACCCTCGTTAACAGTGTTTGTTTAACACCGCAATATTTCGTCTGTATGACGGCGGTCTGTAAATGATCGAGACTGGGGCACAACCCAGTGATTGAAATCATGAGCAACGACCTAGGCAAATTGGGATACGATGACGTGCATGAACAAAGCCAGCGTGCCTGACCATGGGTTGCTGAAGATCTAATCTTCGCGGAAGCATGTCATGTGGAATACATGTGCAAGTATATATTGACACACCAAACAAGATCGGACAAACGAGGTTGTACTTGGAAACGGATATAACTATACTATTGGCCCGTGTCACTCCCAGCATTCCCAGCGTCATCTTAACTTTTACCGACTCGTGTTGATATATTGGTTACAAAACACTCTGGTCAGATTCTCATCATATTAGGGTGCAAGAAGTCACGTCGTTAAAATAGTGAACTTTGATCGCCATGGTCTGTTTCTGATGTCTGGGAATGAAACCCTAGATTGTGTTGTCCTACTTGTACTTCCACCAACGCACTGCCACGACAAGGAAATGTGACCCCGCAAACCTCTGTACAAGTAGACCCACCTAAAGTTATGACCCTTACAGCGAGACTCTCAACTTTCTTGTAATTCACACAACAACTTCAGTATCTAGAATGTGGTTTTAGTTGCGTCCACCGTTATAAAGATCGATCTCATGTTAGTATCAACTATTCGTTGAGAAGCACCGTCACACCACCTAATTATTAACAAAGAATTTCAGGAAATAAAACTCCATATTATATGACAGGTCTTAATTACACACAAACACACACACGCACGCACGCACGCACGCACGCACGCACGCACACACACACACACACACACACAATTCATCAATGCCATGCAAAGAAGGAAACTCGGGGACTTCGGTCCACCAGCAGATAAGTAGTCGAAGCCACCCATGTTGACATAATCACGTTAACATCGCTAGATTACAACGTTTGGACCATGCCGCAGAACATGAATACTCTTGGGCCAGTCCTTATTTTCGCCTCTTAATACCGATCGCCAGGCAGGGTAACAACAAGTACAACCTTTTTACGAAATTTGGTATGACGCAGCCGGGGATCGAATTACCGACCTTCCAGTCTCCGCGCAAAAGCTCTATCCATAACACCATGGATGCGCCAGTTGGGGTGGACGTGTTCAGCAAAACACCTGGAAACACCTTGATACATTTAAATTGAATCCACGTTTTGGGATGAGATTTGGTATTTAGGAGTGTACTAGATATAGTGTTGTTTTAAGTACATTAAAAAAAGGGTTTCCCAACTCTTTAAGATTATTGAGCTTGAAAAAAACAATGACATAGGTTAAACATGACAACGTGTTCACCCTGTTGGTTACATGTAAATGTGGTTGAATGAATCATTATAACCCGCAATAAAGATATAAACAACTAAATTAGTACAATAGATCATACACTAAGACAATCCTATTCCAGAAATATCCCTGGAAACGGTGAGGTGAGGTGAAATGTGGTTTGACGTCGCGTTGAAGATTATTGCACCCATATAGTGACGTGCATGTGTGTGTGTGTGTGTGTGTTTGTGTGTGTGTAGGTGTGTGTAGGTGTAGGTGTAGGTGTGTGTGTGTAGGTGTGTGTGGCTGCATGTACTACAGTGTAGTCTGATGCCGATTTTATAGTGCTAGTCCACTGTGATATCATGCTACAGTTTAACATGAATACCCCACTCAGACAAAGTGTACGGACTCCGAGACGACCTGTCCCAATGTAAGATCCTTGTTGCCGAGCGCCGAGCAGGGTAGCAACAAGTAGCATCTTTTGACGTCTTTATGTAATACGCGTTCAGGGATCGAACCCACGCACAGAAAATATATATGTACCTGTAAGAACAACAAACGTAATGAGATAATAAAGATGGAAACTTAAAAAGGGAAGCCTTGCATTTATTCACCTGATGAAGGAGTAAGTGTATGCTCCTAAATGTTGTGTTCCTCATAATGTATTGACACCCATAAATGACATGTTTTGTGACTAATGCATGTCAACAGTTATTTAACTAATTTTTCAATTGTTTTCACGGGCTCATGTATTTTATCTTGCAGTCATGAAGCCCGAAATAATAACTTGACAGAGATCCCCTCACGACACACTATCCACATCTAAATTTCAGATTGCTGTTGAGATAGCCGAGTGGTTAACCCAGTGGTTAACTTTTCCTCAGGTATCGCTGGTATCTTTGACATTTATCCCATTGAGGTCAAAGTCCAATGTATTTCCGAGACTTTTGGGATTATATGAACATAAACAATGAGTGGTTCCTATTAATGAGAATTGTTTCATCATTTTCAGAGGGGATTGCCATACGTGTTGATGGGGGTCACACGGAGGTTCGAGAATATACAAACTTTACTTTGATATGTGAAACAACGACAGACATTGGCAGGATAAAATGGTTCAAGAATGGTAAACGGATGGCTGTGTCTCTCAGGCGTAAACCCAATGCCTGTTCTTTAATACGGTCTTCTAGGAAGAGGGGAGAATATGCGACTAAGTGCAAGGGTAAGCAGCTCTTGCTTGTACTGGAAGAAGTTACTAGTCTCGACAGTGGCAGGTGGGTCTGCGAAGATCCTAATGTCGATATGAAGAGCAACGAGGTTGAAGTTAAAGTTGTTCCAGATGTGACTGGTAAGTTTGTTTGAATGTTGTCCCATAAATGCAATTATTTCTAACTTGAAATATAAAACATATTCTGGGGGACATTAATATCGAATTTGCTCAGTTAATCACCTGGTCCCCGAAAGTTTGGCACTTAACATGCGACATGATCTGACCTCATCGAAACTGTCATGTGGGGGTGATATATGAATGACAAAGATTCATTTGAGATGCCAGATGACGATTATGTCAGGTCACAGTATATGTTAACTTTCATGAAGATTATGTAAGGTCACAGTATATGTTAACTGACATAAAGATTATGTAAGGTCACGGTATATGTTTACGAACATGAAGATTATGTAAGGTCACAGTATATGTGGACGGACATGAAGATTATGTAAGGTCACAGTATATGTGCACGGACATGAAGATTATGTAAGGTCACAGTATATGTGCACGGACATGAAGATTATGTAAGCTCACAGTATATGTGCACGGACATGAAGATTATGTAAGGTCACAGTACATGTGTACGGACATGAAGATTATGTAAGCTCACAGTATATGTGCACGGACATGAAGATTATGTAAGGTCACAGTATATGTGCACGGACATGAAGATTATGTAAGGTCACAGTATATGTTCACGGACATGAAGATTATGTAAGGTCACGGTATATGTGTACGGACATGAAGATTATGTAAGGTCACAGTATATGTGCACGGACATGAAGATTATGTAAGGTCACAGTATATGTGTACGGACATGAAGATTATGTAAGGTCAGAGTATATGTGTACGGACATGAAGATTATGTAAGGTCACAGTATATGTGCATGGACATGAAGATTATGTAAGGTCACAGTTTATGTGCATGGACATGAAGATTATGTAAGGTCACAGTATATGTGTACGGACATGAAGATTATGTAAGGTCACAGTATATGTGTACGGACATGAAGATTATGTAAGTTCACAGTATATATTTATTTACATGAAGATTATCTAAGGTGACAGTATATGTTTACTTACATGACGATTATGTAAGGTCACTGTATATGTTTATTTACATGACGATTATTTAAGGTCACAGTATATGTTTATTTACATAAAGGTTATGGAAGGCTAAAGTACATGTTTACTAACATGAACATTATCTGAGGTCAAAGTATATGTTTACGGACATGAAGGTTATGTAAGGTCACAGTATATGTGCACGGACATGAAGATTATGTAAGGTCACAGTATATATTTATTTACATGAAGATTATGTAAGGTCGCAGTATATGTGCACGGACATGACGATTATTTGAGGTCACAGTCTATGTGCACGGACATGAAGATTGTTTGAGGTCACAGTATATGTTTACAGACATGAAGATTATCTGAGGTCACAGTATATGTTTATTAACATGAGGATTATTTAAGGTCACAGTATATGTTTACTATCATGAGGATTATTTAAGGTCATAGCATATGTTTACTAACATGAACATTATCTAAGGTCACGGTTTATGTTTACTTTCATGACGATTATTTGAGGTCACAGTATATGGTTATTTACATGAAGGTTATGTAAGGTCAAAGTACAGGTTTAGTTACATGAAGATTACGTAAGGTCGCAGTATAAATTAACGGACATGAAGATTATGAAAGGACACATTATATGCTTACTTACATGAAGGATATGTAAGGTCAGAGTATATGTTTACTTACATGAAGATTATGTAAGGTCACAGTATATGTTCACTTACATGAACATTGTCTAAGGTCACGGTAAATGTTTATGGACATGAAGGTTATGTAAGGTAACAGTATATGATGACGGACATGAGGATTATCTGAGGTCACAGTATATGTTCACTTACATGAGGATTATGTAAGGTCACAGTATATGTTCACTTACATGAACATTGTCTAGGGTCACGGTAAATGTTTATGGACATGAAGGTTCTGTAAGGTCAGAGTATATGTGCACGGACATGAAGATTATGTAAGGTCACAGTATATGTTTATTTACATGAAGATTATGTAAGGTCACAGTATATGTGCACGGACATGAAGATTATTTAAGGTCACAGTATATGTGTACGGACATGAAGATTATGTAAGGTCACAGTATATGTGCACGGACATGAAGATTATGTAAGGTCACAGTATATGTGTACGGACGTGAAGATTATGTAAGGTCACAGTATATGTGTACGGACATGAAGATTATGTAAGGTCACAGTATATGTGCACGGACATGAAGATTATGTAAGGTCACAGTATATGTACACGGACATGAAGATTATGTAAGCTCACAGTATATGTGTACGGACATGAAGATTATGTAAGTTCACAGTATATATTTATTTACATGAAGATTATCTAAGGTGACAGTATATGTTTACTTACATGACGATTATGTAAGGTCACGGTATATGTTTATTTACATGACGATTATTTAAGGTCACAGTATATGTTTATTTACATAAAGGTTATGAAAGGCTAAAGTACATGTTCACTAACATGAACATTATCTGAGGTCAAAGTATATGTTTACGGACATGAAGGTTATGTAAGGTCACAGTATATGTGCACGGACATGAAGATTATGTAAGGTCACAGTATATATTTATTTACATGAAGATTATGTAAGGTCGCAGTATATGTGCACGGACATGAAGATTATTTGAGGTCACAGTCTATGTGCACGGACATGAAGATTGTTTGAGGTCACAGTATATGTTTACAGACATGAAGATTATCTGAGGTCACAGTATATGTTTATTAACATGAGGATTATTTAAGGTCACAGTATATGTTTACTATCATGAGGATTATTTAAGGTCATAGCATATGTTTACTAACATGAACATTATCTAAGGTCACGGTTTATGTTTACTTTCATGACGATTATTTGAGGTCACAGTATATGGTTATTTACATGAAGGTTATGTAAGGTCAAAGTACAGGTTTAGTTACATGAAGATTACGTAAGGTCGCAGTATAAATTAACGGACATGAAGATTATGAAAGGACACATTATATGCTTACTTACATGAAGGATATGTAAGGTCAGAGTATATGTTTTCTTGCATGAAGATTATGTAAGGTCACAGTATATGTTCACTTACATGAACATTGTCTAAGGTCACGGTAAATGTTTATGGACATGAAGGTTATGTAAGGTAACAGTACATGATGACGGACATGAGGATTATCTGAGGTCACAGTATATGTTCACTTACATGAGGATTATGTAAGGTCACAGTATATGTTCACTTACATGAACATTGTCTAAGGTCACGGTAAATGTTTATGGACATGAAGGTTAAGTAAGGTAACAGTATATGATGACGGACATGAGGATTATCTGAGGTCACAGTATATGTTTATTTACATGAGGATTATGTAAGGTCACAATATATGTGTACGGACGTGAAGATCATGTAATGTAACAGTATATGTTTACGGACATAAAGATTATCAAAGGTCACAGTATATGTTCACTTACATGAAGATTATCTAAGGTCACAGTATATGTTTATGGACATGAAGGGGATGTAGGGTCACAGTATATGTTTATTTACAAGAAGATTATATGAGGTCACAGTGTATGTTTACTTACATGAAGTTATGTAAGGTCACAGTATATGTTTAATTACATGAAGTTATGTAAGGTCACAGTATATGTTGACTTACATGAGCATTATCTGAGGTCACAGTATATGTTTATTTACATGAGGATTATGTAAGGTCACAATATATGTGTACGGACGTGAAGATTATGTAAGGTCACAGTATATGTGCATGGACATGAAGATTATGTAAGGTCACAGTTTATGTGCATGGACATGAAGATTATGTAAGGTCACAGTATATGTGTACGGACATGAAGATTATGTAAGGTCACAGTATATGTGTACGGACATGAAGATTATGTAAGTTCACAGTATATATTTATTTACATGAAGATTATCTAAGGTGACAGTATATGTTTACTTACATGACGATTATGTAAGGTCACTGTATATGTTTATTTACATGACGATTATTTAAGGTCACAGTATATGTTTATTTACATAAAGGTTATGGAAGGCTAAAGTACATGTTTACTAACATGAACATTATCTGAGGTCAAAGTATATGTTTACGGACATGAAGGTTATGTAAGGTCACAGTATATGTGCACGGACATGAAGATTATGTAAGGTCACAGTATATATTTATTTACATGAAGATTATGTAAGGTCGCAGTATATGTGCACGGACATGACGATTATTTGAGGTCACAGTCTATGTGCACGGACATGAAGATTGTTTGAGGTCACAGTATATGTTTACAGACATGAAGATTATCTGAGGTCACAGTATATGTTTATTAACATGAGGATTATTTAAGGTCACAGTATATGTTTACTATCATGAGGATTATTTAAGGTCATAGCATATGTTTACTAACATGAACATTATCTAAGGTCACGGTTTATGTTTACTTTCATGACGATTATTTGAGGTCACAGTATATGGTTATTTACATGAAGGTTATGTAAGGTCAAAGTACAGGTTTAGTTACATGAAGATTACGTAAGGTCGCAGTATAAATTAACGGACATGAAGATTATGAAAGGACACATTATATGCTTACTTACATGAAGGATATGTAAGGTCAGAGTATATGTTTACTTACATGAAGATTATGTAAGGTCACAGTATATGTTCACTTACATGAACATTGTCTAAGGTCACGGTAAATGTTTATGGACATGAAGGTTATGTAAGGTAACAGTATATGATGACGGACATGAGGATTATCTGAGGTCACAGTATATGTTCACTTACATGAACATTGTCTAGGGTCACGGTAAATGTTTACGGACATGAAGGTTATGTAAGGTCACAGTATATGTGCACGGACATGAAGATTATGTAAGGTCACAGTATATATTTATTTACATGAAGATTATGTAAGGTCGCAGTATATGTGCACGGACATGAAGATTATTTGAGGTCACAGTCTATGTGCACGGACATGAAGATTGTTTGAGGTCACAGTATATGTTTACAGACATGAAGATTATCTGAGGTCACAGTATATGTTTATTAACATGAGGATTATTTAAGGTCACAGTATATGTTTACTATCATGAGGATTATTTAAGGTCATAGCATATGTTTACTAACATGAACATTATCTAAGGTCACGGTTTATGTTTACTTTCATGACGATTATTTGAGGTCACAGTATATGGTTATTTACATGAAGGTTATGTAAGGTCAAAGTACAGGTTTAGTTACATGAAGATTACGTAAGGTCGCAGTATAAATTAACGGACATGAAGATTATGAAAGGACACATTATATGCTTACTTACATGAAGGATATGTAAGGTCAGAGTATATGTTTACTTACATGAAGATTATGTAAGGTCACAGTATATGTTTACTTACATGAAGATTATGTAAGGTCACAGTATATGTTCACTTACATGAACATTGTCTAAGGTCACGGTAAATGTTTATGGACATGAAGGTTATGTAAGGTAACAGTATATGATGACGGACATGAGGATTATCTGAGGTCACAGTATATGTTCACTTACATGAGGATTATGTAAGGTCACAGTATATGTTCACTTACATGAACATTGTCTAAGGTCACGGTAAATGTTTATGGACATGAAGGTTATGTAAGGTAACAGTATATGATGACAGACATGAGGATTATCTGAGGTCACAGTATATGTTTATTTACATGAGGATTATGTAAGGTCACAATATATGTGTACGGACGTGAAGATCATGTAATGTAACAGTATATGTTTACGGACATAAAGATTATCAAAGGTCACAGTATATGTTCACTTACATGAAGATTATCTAAGGTCACAGTATATGTTTATGGACATGAAGGGGATGTAGGGTCACAGTATATGTTTATTTACAAGAAGATTATATGAGGTCACAGTGTATGTTTACTTACATGAAGTTATGTAAGGTCACAGTATATGTTTAATTACATGAAGTTATGTAAGGTCACAGTATATGTTGACTTACATGAGCATTATCTGAGGTCACAGTATATGTTTACTTACATGAAGATCATGTAATGTCACAGTATATGTTTACTTACAAGAAGATTATGTGAGGTCACAGTATATGTTTATGGACATGAAGGTTTTGTATGGTCACAGTTTATGTTTATTTGCATGAAGATTGTCTAAGGTCCAGTATATGTTTACTTACATGAAGATTATACACGGTCACAGTAAATGTTTATGGAAATGAAGGATATGTAAGGTCACAGTTTATGTTTATTTGCATGAAGATTATGTGAGGTCACAGTATATGTTTATTTACATGAAGATTATGTAAGGTCACAGTATATGTTTACTTTATGAAGATTTCGGTAGGCAGATTGACGAACGACTAAAATAGACATATACCAAAACAAATATCATCCTAAACAAAGTCATTTAAGAAGGTAGAATTCTGCGTCAGATGAATCTAAAATCAAAACAAGAATATTGAACACTGAATAAGAATGGTTTCTTAATGGAAAGTAATTTGTTTTCTTGCTTTTCTTTCTGAGAACTTGTCCTTAAGAAGGACACAATTTCAAAAGAGAGTATGGCGTTGGCAATGGAAAACTAGAAAGTAGGTTAATGGCTATCTAAATGTTGACATACATCTTACCATGTGTTTGCTGTTTATTAATAATTATGTTCTTTTTGAAGACATTTGATATTTGGGTGGTTGACTTTAGCATGTCAGTTTTATATACAACGCTACATTTGTATGCATGACGGGTCAGTGAAAATGGACCATGGAAAATGACAGCATCCACCCCTTATGACTGACTGACATTTTTTCACATTGTGTTAGGTTCATTGAGACTATTACACAAAGAGACAAGAAGAAATTACTTGTGTAAATCATTGAACATTATCACCAACCAGCAATCCTTTAAATGTACGTCAATTTCAATAATACGTTCAATTTCTGCTACAGAACCACACATATAATGTTACCACCAAAGCCATTTAGTTTCAATATACCTACAAATAGTACTGTAAGTACCTTAGATGAGCCTTTATGAGATATTATTTTCAACTAAGAAATATTCAAATAAACGTTCACACATGTAAAAGAACCGATATGTGCAGTTACTTACGAAGGTGTTTAATTGTTAAGAAAGCTATGCGTCGTGCCCAGAAAATATGTTGCTCTCTTCATTCTTTAAGAATCTCCACGTTCAAATCTGCCGGAGTCCGTCAGTCTCTCGGGCAACGTGGTGAAGATTGTGTACGGGGTGGATCCAGTGTTGCTTACCTGTAAATGTCAGTGTGACGACATGTACGTGTTTGCCTGGGACTACGGTAACGTGACGGCGAACGTGAGCGCGGTGAAGAAAACCCCTGGTACGTGTCTCCAGCAGCTTACAGCGTGGGTCTCCTGGAGAGATGACGGCAGTAACATCAAATGCGTCGTCACCAACCCGAAGACAGGGCAGACAGCATCAGCAAACATCACGCTGGACCTTCAGTGTGAGTGATTCTACCTTTCTTGGTATTTGCGACCTTCTTTGTAAGTATTGCGTTTTATCTGCTGTGCGTGTTGACCTTCTGTTTGAATATTGTATCTTGTGTGTCAGTGTTGACGACCTTCGGTGTGTACATTGTGTATTGTCTGCGAGCATTGAGGACACATATGATTGAGGTTTATCAACATACAATGTGAGTAGTGTCAAAATCCAGGGTGAGTATAGACAATCTTCTGTCATCTTCTCAGTCATCAGTGTGAATATTAACGACCTACGTGAAAGTTGAAATTGACGTCCGAAAGTAAGGACGACATATATTGCACCTTGGTCAGAGTCGGTATATTACTTACTTTCAATGAGCAAAGGGTTGAGCATTAACGGATTTAATGAAGTATTGATTACCTTCAATTAGGAGATTCACATGTTGTTTAATGTGGAGGTATTTGTTAATTACCTGGAGATTTGATTGCTCTGAGTTGAATTTGAAACGGAAGGCGCAAGTTTGCTATGCGTAACATTATATATGGACAAGGGCCTATATTATGAAAACCATTTGAAGATCGGTTTTGATTTTTGAAAATTCATATTGATGTTTATTTTACAGACATGCCACAGAACCCTGTTATATCCATCTCGCCCCATGACAATATCATTGAAGGTCAGGAGGTCAATATTTCCTGCCAGCCTCACCCTGAAGGAAAACCTCGGGGAAAGACAACGGTTGTAGTAAGACCAGGCAATGACAAGACTCACACGAGAGAATCTTACGTAACGTTCCAGGTCTCACGAGATGATGACGGTGCCGAAATTAATTGCTATGCATTGAATAAATATACGCGTGGTAACAGCTCTGCCTATTCGGACAAGGACTTTTTGAGAGTGTTATGTAAGTATCTTACGAAACACTTTTAGCTTATATGATAATGTAAGCATCACAATGGAATGACAGAATATATGTATCAACTTTCCAGGATATAAGGTTTTTCCATGGGACGAGAGGAGACATATGACCGACAAAATCTGACTTTCATTATTTTTCACGAGACTACGAAAACACCGTTGGACTACTTCCTCATCATGGAAAACCCCTTGAAATTTCCTATCGTGAATGAATACAGAATCATCGTTTGAGATCACTTAGACACTTTAATTTTCAAGTAAGGTTTGGGATACTTATTTTCGTTGTTACTGTTCTGACTGTTGTTAAATCTGATCTGTTTGGGTTTTTATCAACTACTGAGGATGTTACTTACAATTGTTCGCAAGAGACTTTAAGGAATTCTTTTGTTCACAGTAAGATAGTTGACAAGATATTTTAGAAAATTAATTTGTACAGAGTTGGATGTTTGATAAGACAGTGTAGGGATTATTTAACATAGTTCAATGGTTGACAATATACATTAGGGAATTATTTTGTGCATAGTTATTCCGTGGTCAAGCTACTTTTGGAAGTTAGTTTGTACACAGTTAGTTGGTTGACAAGCGATTTTAGGGATCAATTTTACACAGTTTTAAATGGTTGAAAAGATACCCCTTGGGACATATTTTGTCACTGTTAGATCGCTGACAAGCAATCTTAAGCAATTAGCCTGCAACCTCGTGGTATCGCGGTACTTGTCATGTACGCTAACGGAACAAAATGCACTCACTAAACTTTATGATTATTCGTGTTCTCTATATAAGATGTGTCATATATTTTATCTAACAATGCATATTTTACTGATAAAAGTTCATTATTTACATTAGTAGCGCCGAGTAAAAGCCGGGCATCGCGCTCTGTTTGACAAGGGAGAGAACTCCATCGTATCGCGGTACAGAGAAAAGTTGTGTATGGATGTTCAAATTGGACAAAAAGAGGACACAATTCTACCAACCACTTGGTATGATCATGCCAGACATCAGTGATTTGTCCAGACAAGTGCAAAGACAGCACAAGTAAAATTCTAAATGTGTTATCAGTAATAGGTATTCAATGCATATTTACCGAAAAGTAAGAGAAAAATATTTTTATAAGTCAACAACAAAATATCAGAAATGATATTCTAAGATTGTTTATAAAAAGAATTAGATGACAATAATTTGTCACAAAATGGAGAAATGTTAAAAGTCAACAACAAATATATAAAGGAAAGCACTTCTAGTATGCCCAAAGTATGTATTTATCTTTTGGCTACTAGTGAAGAAAGTATTTCTAAGTTTGGCATTATGGCCCTTATGATCTCCCAATAGATTCTGGGCACAGAGCGGGAAAAAATGTGCGGACTACGTAACTTCCGTTACCTTATTAGTCGCCATGAATATGCAGATGATCTAGTTCAACTCCATAGAGAAAGTTTCCTTGAGGAACTGCGGGTTATATCGTTGGCCATTGACAGATGGGTGTAAGGCATATTAAAAATGATGCCAGAAGTAAGTATCGACGCATGAATAACTCCCTACTTCCAGCAGACGGAACATTCCGAGGAAATTGAAATTGTTTACGAAGTGAGCACTTCCTGGTTACTGATTTGCATTAACAGACAGCCGCTAAGAGGCGTGTCCCGCGTGAACTATCGGAAATCACAAATGCCGCGATACGATGAATGCCGCGGTACCACGGGGTCCGAGTATATATGATACACAGTGAGATGGTTGACAAGATACTTAAGACAAGGGTTTGTTGTCATACATAAATGCTTGACAAGATATTTAAGAGATGTCTTTTGTACACAGTGAGATGGTTGACAAAATACTTCAGGTGACACAAGACGAGGGTTTGTTTTTCACACACTTAGATGCTTGACAATATATTTTAGAGGTGTATTTTGTACACAGTTTGATGGTTGACAACCATTACCATGAAGCTATACACTATATTATCCCTCATTGTTATCTTCTTCATAGACCACCCAAAGTTGACAGTCATATCAAACGTATCGATATCCGAAGATGGCAATCAATCTGTGGTATTCACGTGCACAGCAAGTGGTAACCCTGATAGCACGACATTCTTGCCCTGGACGCACATGTATGGCACCACGGTTGTCCGAGAACTTGCAGGAACCAATAACTCCACCCACTCTACACTGAGAATGTCATCACTACGCTATCAAGACATGGGAATATATATATGTAATGGAACCAATGGCATCGGCAGGAATGGTTCGATGTACAGCTTCCATTGGACAAAGCTGGACGTACACGGTAATTATTCAGATAGATTTTGGCAGCGTCAGGCACTATTCCCGCTATGCCACGGTACGGGACACCAAGAATCGAACCCGGATCTTTGGCGTGGACAGCCAACGCTTACACCACCCAAATGCACCAAACGAAACCCTGTTGTGGCGTATTTCGCCTGCAGACAATATGAAATGCTAAAACTAAAGTGTATTTATGTTTCTTCATTCCTGTCTTCTTATTAGTCTGGTCAGAATCTAATCGAAATTAAACGTGTTAATAGTGTAGCTTAGATCTAACTGTGCACCAAATGAGTTCTGAATATACATTTGCCGAAATTATCCACATGGATAAAGGTTGTGACCTGACTGATCAAAACCTAGGCATTCCGGGGAACGAGACGCTCAGAAAACAATATGTTTGGGCGATGGTACGTTGAGAAGACATAACTTGTAAGATTCTCTGAAGTTTACTTCCATTTGTTGTCACAGAGATTGAGTCGCTAATCACCAGTCTTGTGGCCATACTTGCCTATGTGGATTAATTTAGGCTGAATAATAGTGTGTACCGATACAAATGTTTTTTTGGAGACAGGTACTCGACGTTTGAATTAACGACATATAATATAAACAGAATATCATAGTTTTACGTCTATACATTTGGATTACTGATAGTTATAAGAATACCTTTGTCGACTTATTTGCAGTTTCGAAAAGCGCAAATTATAACTTAAGGCATAAAGGTAATTCTCAAACAGTAAAGTGAGAAACAAAAACATATGCATGTTCATTTATACACCAAAGCTTTGGAATATGCAATCAGAAAACCTAATTAGGGGTGAGGAGGCAGAGACCGTCACAACATTTCAGAACACGCTACATGGTAGGGGAGATAGTGGGATACACTGGCATTAAACTTATGGAAACAAATTATCACATCGCCTCGGGCAGATCAGTATAATAGACATATTTTGGATATAACAATTGTCCCTGTATCATACCGAACATACTTAAAGTTTTACATTTCTTTTTTGTCTGTACAAATAACTCAGAGTCTATTCTTCGAAATGAAATGTATTTTTACCCACAAGGTTACTCTTTACGAACAGTGATATATACAGAATCGTACTTGAGTAAGGAAGATCAAATCCACTGTTAGATTCTATTCAAGGCTTCAAAGACTGGCAGATTTTCAGTTAAGTAAATGAACTGAGTACATTTGGTAAGAGTAAATCAATACCTGAAGCGCAATATCTACATGTTATAGTCCAAGATATACATTGTTATAGGACTAGATATAGAATATTCACATGTTTAACTACATATATAGGCTGCATTGTCGTGTTTCCTCAGGACTTCCGTTTTTCCCCGATCACACCGATGAAATGACCGTGGTGAACACGCTACAGAACACAAGCTTCACCTTGACCTACAGATATGTGTCTGACCCGGGATCTAACGTCACGTGGTTTGCTAAGGGGGAACAACTCAGCCCTAATGAGACTGGTCCGTTTGTTGGAACATCCCCTGAGAGAATCCGCGTTGATATGTATGGTGAGATATATTGTGTGGGGAATATTGTGCTATACTTCTGAGTATTACACTATTCCCTAAGTCCGTCTCTGTAATGAAATGTACTACACAAAACGCTGTCTCGAGAATCATGATCTTGCGGACATTGTTAGCGATGTCACGTTTGATGAACACCATGTGTGAGTGAGTACGTGCGTGCGTCTCTATTATAAAATGTACTCCACAAAGGGTTCTTTCAAGGATTATGATCTCATGGTAGGTCTTTCGGTAGAATAAAGCAAAAGGATAAAAATGGTATCTGTTGGGGATGCAAATATGAAAGGACAAGGCTTGTGAATACAATGTGTATTCCTAATACAGGATATTTACCACCCCCAAACAGAATCGCGTCATACGTCCGATACACACATGGAGTTTTTTCCATGCTTGGTGTGGTAGCCTCATACTTCAAGTGTAAGCTAAATTATATATCAAAAACATGTTCCATAGATATATAAGTTTTATATTCCCAAGTCAGATACGAAAGCATAATAATTATATTGAAAATGCGTTATTATACAGAGATTTTATTTTATATTTCAAACACATTTCACAGTGGGATTCCAAAATTAATAAATCTATTTTTTCAGGTAAAAGTATACGTTTGTATGGACACGAGGAGAGACTATTATTTCCAACTGTGACGGCCGATGACGACGGAGAGTACTTCATCCGTGTATGCAACGAGTATGGCTGTCGCAATTCAAATGTTATTCAGCTCAAAGCAACAGGTTAGTACCATCAGTTCTGATCATTCTTCCATTTCTCTGATAGGATTCGGAATAATTGTTTGCCGATATATTTAAAACAAAGTAACTAAAAATTGAAATAGGATCTGATATACGTCCTTTTCCATTTATCGTGATCGCGAGACTGCATTTTACCGTGCGCAGGTTGTCGTTCTTGACGGGGTTACATTTTGCTGTCGTCCTTGGCGAAGTTTCACAAGGAAAAACTACGAGTGTCGTAATTCATTGTTAAAGCATGGGAGTTATGAATACCTTAGTGCTAAGATCGCTTTGTGGAACAGGACCATGTACTTGAACTAAATGTAACCACGTGACTGACCTATTCAAAAAGTGCTTCACGTAGACATTGCCCACCGAATGATGACATCATTAAACTCTGTTTGATGTAACAAACCAGAAGGAATACCATGCAGTGTACTTGAGCATACACACGCTTATGTCATCTCCTGGTTTAAGGAACAATATATTTTAACCCCAAGCTCTGACGTTTATACAGTTTGGCCCTCACAGTTTTTCATATTCAAATCAACTCACTCAAAATGAAAGTCAAATCTTGAACGCTCTAAGTAACTCAATCTTGAGTGGATCCCAAACCATGAGACAATGCATGTAGCCGTGAAAGACTAGTGTTCTAGAAACTAGTCAGCTGTCACTGTTTGCACCACGGAACAGGGACAACTGTGTCTACGACATGTGCATGGCTGTGGCGAAGGAAACACTTCAGTCCTGTTCACTGAAAACGATTAATGAAACTTCCTTTCTTGTTTCATATAGACACCCAGAAAACAGGAGTCATACTTGATGGACAGGAAGAATCCCCAGTCAATATGGCTTTAATAATTGGTATATCGGCCGGGTCCGCCATCTTATTTATTGTCCTTGTCCTGGTTATACTATTGCTGCTTCAACGACGGAAGTGTGGATCTCATGACACCACAGGTATGTAGTTATAAAACTGCTTTGAGTAGATCTGTGGTAGATATACACTATGACGTAACTCCATGAGGATCCCGTGTTAGAATTAGTCCCAGGCAACCATCATGTTTGTATGCTGGTTGTAAGAGGCCGCATGGAGGATCGAGTTTTCGGGTTCGGAGATTTGGTTGCTTATGTGTCACAGCAGCCTGAGGGGTGGATAGTTGTTTGCATATCAATCACCGGCTTGTCTGGTCCAGACTCGATTATGTACATGCAGCCGTCATATAGCTGGAATATTTATGTAAAGCAAGACACCTACCAATAAAAAATAACTGCACATGTACAGTAAATGTTATTCTCGTCTTTGTCGTAATCCCCGGCTGATAATCTTTTTTATGTCTATTTTATTTCTATGTTTTCTTCAACGACGTTTCATATGTCGTAGTTAAGTGTGCAACATGACATTGTTGAATCTTTTTATCTAAGGGACTACTGACTCAAAAATATAGTACAAGTGAAGATCCGGGTTAGAAGCAGCCCTTGCTTACATGAAAGAGGCAACCAACGGGGTCGGGTTGTCTGGTTCGCTGACTTGGTTGATGCATGTCATCGTATGCCATGCATTGTATCCATGCTCATAATGTCAATCACTGGATTGTCGGGTCCAGATTCGATGATTTACAGACCGCCGTCATATAGATCGAATATTGCTGATTGCGCCATTAAACAACAAACTACCAAAGCAAAACAGAAATATTTTATAAGATGAAGAAAATGAATTTTACTCGAATAACCGGAGTCGGACGGTTCGAGTGTCAGCTGAGACATACAATTATATAAATGCAATGTTTTCGGGATTGAAGCATGCATTGTGAACATGGGAAATCTAGTCTTATTGTGACTTATTTTTTCCAGGTGATAGAGCTCTTCACAACACAAACGGGTAAGAATGTAGCCTTAAATAAAAGCCTATCGTGTAATATATACCATGTATGAACATATAATTTATACCATGTATGAACATATAATATATACCACGTATGAACATGTAATATATACCAGATAGTTGTTGCAAGGTATTTTGTATGTGCGAAAACATTTTTAGACTCGTACTTTTAAAAATAAGATATCTGGTTTTGCAGAAAAAATGTCTAGCCTCCATACAAAATCCCAGCTCCCATCCCCCTTCAGAATATCAAATGTTCGGTCCCAAGGCGCTTTATTAAACATCAGCTCACTCTTCTGAGTTACACAGGTTATCCACCACGAAGGGAAATGCAGCCTACGACCGAGAAAGTTTAGGTAATGTTAATGTTAAAATATTTAAAATTCACATAATTATCATCAAAAGTAACGAAACACCGATAACTCCAAATGAATTGACGTAATCATCGTGGGTAAGAAAGATTACCTGTCTTCATCACTAGTTTGCCTTTTACGCCCAATAATACCTACTCTCTAATTACCATACACAGTCGAATCTCGCTATCTCGACTTTGACTTTAACTTCACTCTGGAATTGTATACTTTTATCTCAAATTGGTATTTGCCACATCAACTATTTTGAAAAGCGCAAGTAGTGACTGCTTCTGAGCCTCCAGTACTTGTCCTCTGTATATAATTTATCCCAGTTATTATTAACCATTGCCGGCGAAAAATCATTTCAATTTGTCATGGCATGTACGTGATGTGCTTTTAATAGACGACTGTCCGGATATATCGAAATTATAAGAGTCGCTAGGTTCGACTGTATATGAAACTATAAATATATACGGTTAGAATGATTGTTATGCCACATTACGTCACGCGAAGGTCATAATGCAAGGTCATAATGCTTGCAAAGACGCAATAACGAGCTGTGTATTGAGTCTAACATTTTGTTTTACAGGTACTACTGAGAAGGAACGCAATGGCAATGGTTCGGAGAAGGACTCCATCTTGGGTAGGTGTATGATATCACAGTTCACTCCAACAGTGGAATGCACATTGGACGATGACACGAATGTTGAGAATAATAAATTTAGTCACACCGTATCTTATGATAAATGTAGTTCCTCATTGGCCATTCTAGTGAGGTGACAGGTGGGTTAAACTAACTGTTGTCTCTTCACGCCGGAGACCTGGATTCATTTCAAATAATGCATACAACTGGCCTGTCGTTTTCACGTAAGACGCTCGGCATTAAGGGGCTAAAACTGGTCGGCTCGGAGTCAGCATACTGTGTCTGAGTGGGGTATTCTTGTTAAATTGCGGCATAGTATATCAGTGGGCTAGCATTATTAAATCGGCATTAGTCCGGCTTAGTCAACAAGACGTGTATATTTGGTTGGTGCATCTACGGAATCGCTACCAAACTGCCACTTTAACAATTCCTTGGCTGAGAGCAATTAGTGGCAGAACCGTACGCAACCGGTTGAGAGAGCACAAAGCCCGACCTCGACGTCCAATGATACGCAGTAGTTTGCTTCAAGGTCACCGTCAGTCACGCCAAGCCTCTGAGGTGTAAGACGGGACAATATACTGTTTAGGGATGAGTCCAGGTTTCATCGGGACATCGCTGATGATCCTGCAAGGACCTACAGGCGCCCAGGACAACGTTGTAGCGACGCTTGCATTACTCAACGTCAGGTCGAAGTGTAATCGTTAGGAGAGGTGAAATAGAGCTTAGCGTCGCTTTCAAGTTTATTTGCACTTATATAGCGACGTGCATGCATTTGTGTGGGCGTGCGTGCGTTTGCACTTATATAGCGACGTGCATGCATGTGCGTGTGCGGCTGCTTGTACAAATTCGGACTAATGCCGATTATATAGGGCTTTTTACGTATCGCAGTTTTACGTGAATACCCTACTCAGACTCAGTATACTTGTTTTAGCCAGCGCCAGGCGGTCTGGACGTGTGATGGTACGGGGAGGCATCATTTTCTACATTTTGTGAAAATATACGGTTACACGCTGCTTTCTGTATATGCCCCTGTGTATATCTGCCGTACAATGTATTTCAGTGACCACGACGAGCACTCTGTACATCAAAATACGGTTACACGCTGCTTTCTGTATATGCCCCTGTGTACACCTACCGTACAATGTATTTCAGTGACCACGACGAGCAGTCTGTACATCAATATACGGCTACACGCTGCTTTCTGTATATGCCCCTGTGTATATCTGCCGTACAATGTATTTCAGTGACCACGACGAGCAGTCTGTACATCAATATACGGTTACACGCTGCTTTTTGTATATGCCCCTGTGTATATCTGCCGTACAATGTATTTCAGTGACCGAGACGAGCAGTCTGTACATCAATATACGGCTACACGCTGCTTTCTGTATATGCCCCTGTGTATATCTGCCGTACAATGTATTTCAGTGACCACGACGAGCAGTCTGTACATCAATATACGGCTACACGCTGCTTTCTGTATATGCCCCAGTGTATATCTGCCGTACAATGTATTTCAGTGACCACGACGAGCAGTCTGTACATCAATATACGGCTACACGCTGCTTTCTGTATATGCCCCTGTGTATATCTGCCGTACAATGTATTTCAGTGACCGAGACGAGCAGTCTGTACATCAATACACGGCTACACGCTGCTTTCTGTATATGCCCCTGTGTACACCTACCGTACAATGTATTTCAGTGATCATAAAGAGCAGTCTGTACGGGAAGTCTCTGGTGGCAGACCAATCTGAGGGACACGATGCCAAGTCAGAGCCTAGTGGTAAACAAGATTATCTTAGTGTGTTTAAACACATGAACATGTCACACCACACAGATGCGCAACTACTGTATGCGGATATCTTCCATATAGTAACCTCTTGTGCTATCGGTCCCAACTGTGTAAGACAACGAATGCAATGATATTAGTTATAGTGTCATTAATATGATGTCACCAATGTGGTGATACTGGTACGGTGTTACCGGTGTGGTGTTACTGATGTAGCGTGCTCGGTATGATGTCACCAGTGTGGTGTTACTGGTACGGTGTTACCAGTGTGGTGTAACTGATGTAGTGTCATGGTATGATGTCACCAGTGTGGTGTAACTGGTATGATGTTACCAGTGTGGTGTAACTGATGTAGTGTCATGGTATGATATTACCAGTGTGGTGTAACTGATGTAGTTTCATGGTATGATGTCACCAGTGTAGTGTAACTGATGTAGTTTCATGGTATGATGTCAGCAGTGTGGTGTAACTGATGTAGTGTCATTGTATGATGTCACCAGCGTGGTGTAACTGATGTAGTGTCATGGTATGATGTTACCAGTGTGGTGTAACTGATGTAGTGTCATGGTATGATGTTACCAGTGTGGTGTAACTTATGAAGTGTCATGGTATGATGTTACCAGTGTAGTGTAACTGATGTAGTGTCATGGTATGATGTCATCAATGTAGTGTAACTGATGCAGTGTCATGGCATTATGTCAGCAGTGTTGTGTAACTGATGTAGTGTCATGGTATGATGTCACCAGTGTGGTGCTATTGATGTAGTGTCATGTTATGATGTCAACAATGTGGCGTAACTGATGTAGTGTCATGGTATGATGTCACCAGTGTGGTGTTACTGGTATGATGTCAGCAGTGTTGTGTAACTGATGTAGTGTCATGGTATGATGTCACCAGTGTAGTGTAACTGATGTAGTGTCATGGTATGATGTCACCAGTGTAGTGTAACTGATGTAGTGTCATGGCATTATGTCAGCAGTGTTGTGTAACTGATGTAGTGTCATGGTATCATGTCACCAGTGTGGTGTAACTGATGTAGTGTCATGGTATGATGTCACCAGTGTGGTGTTACTGGTATAATGTCACCAGTGTGGTGTAACCGATGTAGTTTGGTGGTAAGATGTTACCAGTGTGGTGTAACTGATGTAGTGTCATGGTATGATGTCACCAGTGTGGTGTTACTGGTATAATGTCACCAGTGTGGTGTAACTGATGTAGTTTGATGGTAAGATGTTACCAGTGTGGTGTAACTGATGTAGTGTCATGGTATGATGTCACCAGTGTTATGTTACTAGTATGATGTCACCAGTGTGGTGTTACAAGTATGACGTCACCAGTGTGGTGTTACTGATGTAGTGTGCTCGGTATGATGTCACCAGTGTGGTGTAACTGATGTAGTGCCATGGTATGATGTCACCAGTGTGGTGTTACTGGTATAATGTCACCAGTGTGGTGTAACTGATGTAGTTTCATGGTAAGATGTTACCAGTGTGGTGTAACTGATGTAGTGTCATGGTATGATGTCACCAGTGTGGTGTTAATAGTATGATGTCACCAGTGTGGTGTTACAAGTATGACGTCACCAGTGTGGTGTTACTGATGTAGTGTGCTCGGTATGATGTCACCAGGGTGGTGTTACTGATGTAGTTTCATGGTAAGATGTTACCAGTGTGGTGTAACTGATGTAGTGTCATGGTATGATGTCACCAGTGTGGTTTTACTGGTACGATGTTACCAGTGTTGTGTTACTGATGTAGTGTCCTTGGTATGATGTCACCAGTGTGGTGTTACTGGTACGATGTTAGCAGTGTGGTGTAACTGATGTAGTGCCATGGTATGATAGTACCAGTGTGGTGTAACTGATATAGTGTCATGGTATGATGTCACCAGTGTAGTGTTACTGGTACGATGTTACCAGTGGGGTGCTACTGATGTAGTGTCATGGCATTATGTCACCAGTGTTGGGTAACTGATGTAGTGTTATGGTATGATGTCACCAGTGTGGTGTTACTGATGTAGTGTGCTCGGTATGATGTCACCAGTGTGGTGTCACTGATGTAGTGTCATGGTATGATGTCACCAGTGTGGTGTCACTGATGAAGTGTCATGGTAGGTGTCACCACTGTGGTGTTACCAGTTTGGTGTCACTGACTGATGTAGTGTCCTTGGTATGATGTCACCAGTTTGGTGTCACTGATGAAGTGTCATGGTATGATATTACCAATGTGGTGTAACTGATGTAGTTCCATGGTATGATGTCACCAGTGTAGTGTAACTGATGTACTGTCATTGATGGGATGTCACCAGTGGTGTGCTACTGATATAGTGTCATGGTATGATGTCACCAGTGTGGTGTAACTGATGAAGTGTCATGGTATGATGTCACCAGTGTGGTGTTACTGATGTAGTGTCATAGTATGATGTCACCAGTGTGGTGTAACTGATGTAGTGTCATGGTATGATGTCACCAGTGTAATGTAACTACTGTAGTGTCATGGTATGATGTCACCAGTGTGGTGTTACTGATGTAGTGTCATAGTATGATGTCACCAGTGTGGTGTAACTGATGTAGTGTCATGGTATGATGTCACCAGTGTAATGTAACTACTGTAGTGTCATGGTATGATGTCACCAGTGTGGTGTAACTGATGTAGTGTCATTAGTAGGATGTCACCAGTGTGGTGCTACTGATGTAGTGTCATGGCATGATGTCACCAGTGTAATGTAACTACTGTAGTGTCATGGTATGATGTCACCAGTGTGGTGTAACTGATGTAGTGTCATTAGTAGGATGTCACCAGTGTGGTGCTACTGATGTAGTGTCATGGCATGATGTCACCAGTGTGGTGTAACTGATGTGGTGTCATGGTATGATGTCACCAGTGTAGTGCTACTGATATTGTGTCAAGGTATGATGTCACCAGTGTGGTGTAACTGATGTTGTGTCAATGTATGATGTCACCAGTGTGGTGTAACTTATGTAGTGTCATGGTATGATGTCACCAGTGTAGTGTAACTGATGTAGTGTCATGGTATGATGTCACCAGTGTAGTGTAACTGATGTAGTGTCATGGTATGATGTCACCAGTGTGATGTAACTGATGAAGTGTCATGGTATGATGTCACCAGTGTGGTGTTACTGGTATGATGTCACCAGTATGGTGTAACTGATGTAGTGTCAAGGTATGATGTCACCAGTGTAGTGTAACTGATGTAGTGTCATGGTATGATGTCTCCAGTGTGGTGTAACTGATGTAGTGTCATGGTATGATGTCACCAGTGTGGTGTAACTGATGTAGTGTCATGGTATGATGTCACCAGTGTAGTGGTACGCGTATAGTTCTCATGGTATGATATCACCAGTGTGGTGCAACTGATGTAGTGCCATTTGTATGATGTCACCAGTGTGGTGTAACTGATGTAGTGTCATTAGTAGGATGTCACCAGTGTGGTGCTACTGATGTAGTGTCATGGCATGATGTCACCAGTGTGGTGTAACTGATGTGGTGTCATGGTATGATGTCACCAGTGTAGTGCTACTGATATTGTGTCAAGGTATGATGTCACCAGTGTGGTGTAACTGATGTTGTGTCAATGTATGATGTCACCAGTGTGGTGTAACTTATGTAGTGTCATGGTATGATGTCACCAGTGTAGTGTAACTGATGTAGTTTCATGGTAAGATGTCCCCAGTGTGGTGTAACTGATGTAGTGTCATGGTAAGATGTCACCAGTGTGGTGTAACTGATGTAGTGTCATGGCATGATGTCACCAGTGTGGTGTTACTCGCATGATGTCACCAGTGTGGTGTTACTGGTATGATGTCTCAGGTGTGACGTATGTGATGTAGTGTCATTGGTAGGATGTCACCAGTGTGATGACACTGAGGTAGTGCCATGACATGATGTCACCAGTGTAGTGCCACTGGTATGATGTCACCAGTGCGATGTCACTGATGTAGTGTCATGGTAAGTGTCACCAGTGTGGTGTTACAGATGTAGTGTCACTGGTATGCTGTCACCAGTGCGATGTCATTGATGTAGTGTCATGGTATGATGTCACCATTGTGGTGTTACCAGTGTTGTGTTACCGATGTTGTGTCATAGTGTGGTGTTACTGATGTAGTGTCACTGGTATGATGTCACCAGTACGATGTCATTGATGTAGTGTCATCGTATGATGTCACCAGTGTGGTGTTACCAGTGTGGTCTTACTGATGAGGTGCCACTGGTATGGTGTTACGAGTAGGGTGCTACGAGTGAGGTGTTACTGATGAGGTGCCACTGGTGTGGTGTTACGAGTAGGGTTTTACGAGTGAGGTGTTACTGATGCAGTGTCATTGGTATGGTGTTACGAGTAAGGTGATACCAGTGTGGTGTTACTGATGTAGTGTCATGGTATGATGTCACCTGTTCATGGTATGGTGTTAGGAGTAAGGTGATACGAGTGAGGTGTTACGGGTGTAGTGTCGTGGTATGGTGTTACTAGTGTGGTGTTACTGTTGTTGGGTCACCAGTGTGCTGTTATTGATATGGTGTTTCCAGTGTGGTGTTACTTCTTTCAGCCTCTGATGCAGTCTGCTCTGGGGTGTACATGGAGGTGCAGCATCCAGACCAGGATGGGAACACAGAGGCTGAGGCTGATGTTGAGGCTGAAGCTGAACATCGGGAGGAAACTCAGGAGGAAGCAGATGGTAAACGACTGAAAATAACTGCGTGATTGGCATCTGTAGAAGTTATTAGTAACAATAAAGACTAGATATTTGACGGATGACAAATTCATGCATTCTATTATGATGCGACGTTTCGGTATTGATCCTTATATTGAGTGAGTGAGTTTGGTTTTACACCGCTTTGAGCAATATTCCAGCAATATCACGGCGGGGGACCCCAGAAATGGGCTTCACACATTGTACCCTTGTCGGGAATCGAACCTGGGTCTTCGGCGTGACGAGCGAACGCTTTAACCACTAGGTCGTCCGACCGCCCCTATCCTTATTCTGTTGTCGCTAAAGAGTGTCAAGCAAGGATTTATATATACCGAAACGTCGCATCATAATAGAATTATGAAGTTTGATATTGATAATAATGTAATTTCGTAAGTAAGTGAGTGAATATGGTTTTACGCTGCTTTTAGCAATGTGCCTGTACATCAGGATACATAAGCAATGTGTTTTTCCCATTGTAGCCTTGTGAAATATTATAGTGGCTTCCCCAACGTCTACATTGAAATGACACCTTGTGAAAAAGAGAATACGAAAAGCATTGTTTATGATAATAATTAAATTCGAAACGTCAGCAAAGTTTCCAACAGTTTTCTTTAACAATGTGGTTGTGTGAGCTGTACTACGCGCAACGCAGAAAATAAAATAAATCTTACCACTTCTGATTTGACTCATATATCATTTTCCTAAATAACACAAGAAAATATGACAAAGGAGGTCGTTTTAATGTTTATTTAGAGAAAACGTTTCTTGACATTACATGCCATGTTAATGACAGCTACGGTATGTGCGCCCCCGTACACCTTCAACAAATACATGTCATGTGTACACATGTAATTCACTAGTCATATTAATACACTGCAGAAAGAAATGCAACAATTGTTAATAATATGTTCATGGTCTCTTTGAAGCTGAAACCGAGAAAATCGTCACCGAAATATACTCTCAAGTGCAAAAGCCCCGCTCATCCCACAAAGGCTCAACAGTCAGCGACGAGGTTCCGAGTGGGGTCATTGATGACCATCCCACAGAGGATGCCTTCCGAGATGTCGGTAAGAGAAAATAATAACGACGACGACGACAACAACAACAACAATAATAATAATAATGATGATGATGATGATGATGATGATGATGATGATAATAATATTAATAATAATAATAATAATAATAATAATAATAATAATAATAATAATAATAATAATTAACTTCGGGCAGAGTACACATGTAGACTTAAGAAAATCAGAGTCCAGAGCTGAACATACGCAATAAAGTAAAAGCCACAAATATTTATGCTGTACCCGTCCTTTCATTTTCTTTTGGTGTTGTTGATTGGACGAAACAACAAATTCAGGGTATTGACACCCTCACACGAAGAGTCATGTCAGACAATAGATCCCCCCACTCTCGCTCTTCCCTCAATCGCTTATATTTACCAGTCATTATGGGAGGACGTGGTTTGATTAACGTTTGGGCTCTTCATGATATTTGTCTGATGATCCTTTTGTGAAGCATGTCAAGACTTTGTTGATGGTTCTGTACTGCTGGACGGTACAGAAATGAGTGTCGGCCCAGACTGAACGACCACTTCTTCGAGTTTATGTGCAGTGTGTTGAGAAGATCAGCAACCCTGCAGAGTGCTTCGCTTGGATGAAGGCGCCTGGCCTGAAAAGTGAAACAGAAGGCTTTCTGTTTGCTGCTCAGGACCAGTCACTTCCCATTCGAAACCGTCAATATGTGATTTTGCATCAAAATGTAAATATGAAATGTAGATTATATAATGAATTTAATGAGACTGTCCAACACATTGTCAGTGGATGCCCAGCTATGACACAAACACAGTATCTTAAACGGCATGATGGTGTAGCTCGATCATTTTATTACCGTCTTCGCCATGGTTATGGTTTTGACACAGAGGTCCACCCATGGTACGACCCGGAATATGTAGAGGGCGTCATGGAAAATGATAAATACAGAATTCTTTGGAAGAGGCCCGTATACAGCCTCAGACCTTTCCAGGCCAACAAACCTTATCTTGTCCTTTTTAAATGCAATAAAATCCTTTATGCAATTGAATTCCCTGTCTGTTTTGACTCTAATGTGATTGACAAGATTCAGAAAAAAATCATACGGACCTCGCTTACGAAATGTCACGCTTCTATCCCAAGTACCAAGTGCCTTGTTTTTCGATTCCCCATTCTCCACTGTTTCCGGTGCCTGAGCTTTGGTATCTCCCTATCTGTTGCCTGACATTGGGAGAGTACCTAGGTTTACTGCCAGAAACGCAGCCCTTCTGGTAATCTGGGTAATACAATGGGCTGTCGTGTTGGGGTGTCATTCTCCTAAACGTTCTGGGTTGGCTTCCTGGGAGGAGTCCCATTCGCCGTCTGGGCTGCGTGTAGGCAGGGAAAGGGCTCTGAGCTGATGACTAACTAACCTGACTGGGTCAGGATCACCCAAACGACCTTTGCTGCATTTATTTATTTTAATCTGTAAATGATAATGATAATGATGAAGGGTTGGATGTTACATCCTCTTTACATCTCACGATACAGGGTACCCATTGACAGTTGGATGAATAGAAACGTATTTCAGACGTGACCTCGTATTTACATACTCATATCCTTTATCAAAGAAACTGTCGATGATGTGTGAATAAAATAGTATATATCAGGTAGTAGATATTGAATTGTGTATCAACTGACTCAATATTATCAGTATAATAACTTTTGAATAATACACATGTCTAATATTAATAATTAAACATAACGTCTCTAAAACGGATTGATGTTGAATGATGCAAGTTAAAATACGCTTATTCAGACACGCTTATCAATAACCTGTTACCAAACCACATTTGTTCATCTCCTTTCAGATTTAGAAACTAAAGAAGAAAGTCCAGGGGATGCTGAGGCAGACGTTGTGTAATTGAAAGAACAATATTAGGGTAAACCCGTGATTGCCACGAAGGAAACTACACATACTATAAAACAGCAAATATTGTAAGATGATGCCTCAAAACCCTGTGGGTGGTTGGGTAGCCTACTCGTCAAAGCCGTTAATTCGTCACGTCGAAAACCCGATTTCGATTCCCCACATGGATACAGTGTGTGAAGACCATTTCTGGTGTCCCCGTCGTGATGTTGCTTGAATATTGCTAAAACGGCGTAAAACCATACTCACTTAAAACCCTTGAAATGGGTCTGCCTTCCTATTAATATTTTGTATCGTGAACTGCCTTTTCGAACGTTGTAGTAGTCTTCAATGTGTCTTACTTTTCACCCGTTGGTCATTGGTAAGCAGCTGGGAGGCAATGCAACATATGCTTGAATTACTATTTGTCATCTTATTTTTACATTCAGTATTCCTCGATTTCTTAGGGCTTCGTTGTGTCCTTGGACGTTTACATTTTAGGTCCAGTCAATCAAACAATAAACACTTCATCAATTTTACGTTCCGGTGAATTACCATGTAAATAGGGACACAAGCATGTCTGTAAAAACGAACTAATGATTTACAGGTCCCATTAATAATATAAAGGATCAGTATTGATTCTGCAACCTGTCATGGTTATATCTGTGTATGTATGTATGGCTTGGTATTGCTGACGAACCATTCAAATTAACAACGACTGTCACCAGAAGTAGATTTGTTACTTGTTAATTTATGACATGACCACACAGGTGACAAACTGAGTTGGGTGTCGCTGCAACCCTGTATCTATGACTTGTATATACTGTCGCAGTTTGTCTATGATGCATATGAACTTTGAATAAATCCACTGTGTGAGTTTGTTCTCGAAGAGGAGTTTCATGAATACAGACCCCCTCAGAAAAAGAAGTTTCACTTCATACATAAATAACCATGAGTTCGTGTACAGTGTAACCATCTGACATTTGCATGTGCGTATATTGCCAAGCACGTGTTTTCTTTTATCCTTCACATGTCCATTTCCTTTTATTAATTCATCCTGCAATTGTCTGTCAGCAATGTACTCATATACTGCTTCATTGCTTAATAAACGCTGTTTGCAAATAGTAATTCTTTATATAGTCCTTTGAATTGAGTTCATACACTTGTGTTTTATATCAAGTTAAGTACCTGTGTGGCAGAAATGAGGCAGTCGTCATGCAATGGTTTGGTAAGAATGAGGCTGTCGCCTTTATTAGTGTAATAGCACACTGGCGTGTGTATACACCACACAGCAGGGATAAGTTTAGATTTTACTCAGTGTCGAAGAATAGTCCAGTAATATTATCGTAATAACTATATGTGCAAGCAAAGCACAAAGGTCGTAAGCATTTTCTATTTGGAGTGAATCGTGGGTATAGTGCTGTGAAAAAAAGGATTGTTAACAGGGTGAAGCACGGATATAGTGCTGGGAAACTTAGGATTGTTATCAGGGTTGAAGCACGGGTATAGTGCTGGGAAACTTAGGATTGTTATCAGGGTGAAGCACGATTGTTATCAGGGTGAAGCACGGGTATAGTGCTGGGAAACAAAGGATTGTTATCTGGGTGAAGCACTGGTATAGTGCTGGGAGACTAAGGATTGTTAAGAGGGTGAAGCACGGGTATAGTGCAGGGAAACAACGGATCGTTATCAGGATGAAGCATGAGTATTGTGCAGGGAAACAAAGGACTGTTATCAGGGTTAAGCTCGTACAAAGTGCTGGGAAATAAAGAACTGTTGTCAGGTTAAACGGGGCTTGAAACACACTGTCAGCGAACATTAGCACGAGGACAAGAGGTGACTTTTGTTCAATTATTTCCGCAATGACATCCGTGCTTCCCACGATATGTACACAGCGATTGTTTCGGTTCAGTCGTGTTTAATAGTGTTATGTGTGAGGTGTTCTGGGAAACTCCCCTTCGTAAACATGATGCACTATACAGTGAGTGAGTGCATGCGTGAGTGTGGCGTGCGAGCGTGCTCGGGTGAGTGAGTGCATGCGTGAGTGTTGCGTGCGAGCCTTCTCGGGCGAGTGAGTGAATGCGAGAGTATATGTCTTTGACAAATTTGACACACCAGGAACCCTCAACTCACTCATTTAAACGGTTCCAGGCCAAGACGAATGCCCCATATGAGGTATATGGATACATTAATTGTATTCAATTGTGCACAATGTCACCTCACACGCATGCACACACGCACAACCCCATCACCCATCCCAACAATCAAAGCTTGTAGCTAGGATGCTGGGATGCTACACCACGGGCTGTACTGGTGGGAAGTACAGGAAGAACACTGACATCTGCTTCCTGTATCCAAGGAGACTTGCAGGCTGTCGTACTTTTGTTCACAGCATATGCAAGCTGAGTCTTTCTTCATCGATTGTAACATGGAGCGGGAATGTCTGTTACTTGTGGCAGTGAGTCAGTTAATCCTTGGACAGGGTAGGTAGATGGTTCTAAAATTGTAGTCAAAGATTCAAGAGCGCAATTACATGACACTGGCACATTAATGTATCAGCATACTAGCATAAATTATAACTGTATCATTTGTGTAGGTATTCACATATAGATAGCCAAACCCGACGGCATAAAAGTCGCTATTGTAAGTTGTGAATTTGGAGACTCAATCAGGGAATCGATCCGAAAATGGTAGGTTTCTAGCCCGCCTAAAGGACGCAACTCTGCACACACGATTGAGCCACTCGTGCTCACTCTTCAAACTACGAATACTGTTTGGCTGACGATTGTTAATCCTGTCTAGATTCTTTATCGGGGAACAAAACAGATTCTCCCACTGATGTTGTTTGTACACAAGGAAGGTTTGATTGTCTGTTGTTTAATGTCGCACTCAGCATTATTACAACTGTATGACCGTGGTCTGTAAATAATCGAGCCTGGACCAGACAATCCAGTGATTAACATTATAAGCTCCGATCTAAGCAATTGGGGTACGATGACATGCATCAACCAAGTCAGTCAGTTAGTCTGACCACCTGATCCCGTTAGTCGCCTCTTACGACAAGCCTTTTACAGCTAGGACGGCTTGCTGAGGACCTATTCTAACCCGGACATACAGAGTATCAACCATAGCTTTTATAGGACGGCGTTCCATTCTGAGATGTATTGACATAAATTTTATTACACAATTAACAATCAGTTATATCATTGAAACTAATATTATTTGTGTTTTTCTTTGAAGGTAATTCTACTTCTGCTTATGGTAAGTATAGTAAGAATAATTTAGTATTTCTATTTTTTCTATTCTATTTTCTGAGACTATTTATCTACTGGTAAGCCAGCTGGTTAAGTTGAACCAACTCACAAAAACGCATTTGAGACAAATAGGCGGTGCACAGAATTTGTGCAAACATATTTGGTTAGTTACAGGTAGAGAAGATGTACGCATGTTTGGCCTCCAGTGTCATAAATTACTTGGAGAAAGAATTACAAATAAATCTCAAGCATTGTCAAAAGCTATCATTTGACGATTTCGGCCAGTGCGCTGTTCGCCAACTTGTACACAATTCGTATGCATACTGCATTCTTCGCAATGGTAGCGTCAGTGGGCGGATCTCATACATAGTCATACGAGGTTAAATGTCAGGTCACAACTAAACTTATACTGGCTTACTGCTACTTAATTAATGCTTGCACTTGTCGAAATGTCATGAATCGGCATGAGATTGAATTGTAAGGAATGCAGAACTGTATTGAAATATCCCTTCCAGTGACAACAATCCTAAAAGTTCGGAACGTGAGTTTTATTGAGTTTCTTTAGTTTGTTTTCTACCAAGCGTTGCAAAAGACCATAACAAAGCGAAGGTTGTCAATGTTCAAATATGGAGAAAAACACAGTGAGTTGATTTCCTGTAAATTTGACAGAACGCTCACAGAAATAGTTTGTAAAGTTTACAAACTTAGTGAATTTCACTGTCCACTAACATGTTAGTAGACTTTACTAATCAGTTAGTGTAGTTTAACTAGGTGGTCTATCGTCACTAACGAATAAGGGTTAAGTAGTAATCAGATACACGTACGTTGTCAGCTTCCTGTATGAGAGAAATAATAATAGGCATACAGCAGCAACACAAAGAATTGTAAACCTCGGTGGCAGTCGAACCTGCAACCGAGAAGAAAAGACTGGAAGACAAACTTCAGCTCCTTCTTTAGGAGACCGGGTTTTGGGGAGACTTATTCCTACGTGAGATAATAGGACATATGTAGTGGTGACATCACATAAAATGACTCATAGGCAAACATTGAAAAGACAATTTCCGCAATCCACAATACAAACACTTGATTAATTGCGAACATTTACCAATTCCAAGCCGTGACAATCGGTGGATCCCGTAGCAATGAGCGCGTATCTTAATTCACTATGGCTAGACCCTGGTGGAGTGGTTCCTGCATAAAAGTCGAGCAATTGGACACTAAATAAAACGGGTCGACCTTGTGTTAATGGTCTGGTGAACACAGGTCAATGGCCGCTCATATACTCAAGATTCACAATTCATTGTTCTGTTTTATCTCACTATTCATTTGATATATTTGTCAAATTCAAGTGAAACCAGGCCCGCTGTTGCACACATGGCATAGGCGTTGGTCACTCGTTGCACACACGTGCTCAACGGGTTGCACGCGATCTGCACGCACGTTGCACACGCGTGTTCAGCGGGTTCTCAACCCTGTGTGCACCCCGTTGAGCACCATGCATGTTACGCGTGTTCTCAACTCGTGTTAGGGGAATGAACTTCTAGGCTGTAGTGTATGCCTCTTTTATTCCAGGAAGAATATCCACTGAAAGCACAACAACTTATGCTGGTAAGTTCAAAAAGAAACTTAAGACATTGCCTCACAAAACCCCTGAAGATTTGGTTTAGAATTCGTCTGAACAGACGACTAACGGGATCGGGTGGTGAGGTTCGCTGACTTGTTTGATGCATGTCATCATGTCCCAGTTGTTTGTATCGATGCTCATGACAGTTACAGAACTGACTGCTTCAAACTCGATATAGCAGGAATATCGCCGCGTGCGGCGTGAAACAAAAAAAAACGAAACAAACATTGCATTACAGATCATAGTATGTGAATATGTTGTATGTTTCGATAACGTTAATCATATTTGCATGTTATTTGTGTTCTACTTAATTCAAAAAAAGAGAAGAATTGTCTTTTAAACAAAATGAGGGATTTTTATGTGACAGGGATAATATTTCATGGATGTTAATGATATCATTTTTGCTTTTATTGTTATTTCAAGATTTCGGGTTTTGGGGAGACTTATTCCTACGTGAGATAATAGGACATTTGTAGTGGTGACATCACATAAAATGACTCATAGGCAAACATTGAAAAGACAATTTCCGCAATCCACAATACAAACACTTGATTAATTGCGAACATTTACCAAGCCGTGACAATCGGTGGATCCCGTAGCAATGAGCGCGTATCTTAATTCACTATGTCTAGACCCTGGTGGAGTGGTTCCTGCATAAAAGTCGAGCAATTGGACACTAAATAAAACGGGTCGACCTTGTGTTCATGGTCTGGTGAACACAGGTCAATGGCCGCTCATATACTCAAGATTCACAATTCATTGTTCTGTTTTATCTCACTATTCATTTGATATATTTGTCAAATTCAAGTGAAACCAGGCCCGCTGTTGCACACATGGCATAGGCGTGGGTCACTCGTTGCACACACGTGCTCAACGGGTTGCACGCGATCTGCACGCACGTTGCACACGCGTGTTCAGCGGGTTCTCAACCCTGTGTGCACCCCGTTGAGCACCATGCATGTTACGCGTGTTCTCAAATCGTGTTAGGGGAATGAACTTCTAGGCTGTAGTGTATGCCTCTTTTATTCCAGGAAGTATACCCACTGAAAGCACAACAACTTATGCTGGTAAGTTCAAAAAGAAACTTAAGACATTGCCTCACAAAACCCCTGAAGATTTGGTTTAGAATTCGTCTGAACAGACGACTAACGGGATCGGGTGGTGAGGTTCGCTGACTTGTTTGATGCATGTCATCATGTCCCAATTGTTTGTATCGATGCTCATGACAGTTACAGAACTGACTGCTCCAAACTCGATATAGCAGGAATATCGCCGCGTGCGGCGTGAAACAAAAAAAACGAAACAAACATTGCATTACAGATCATAGTATGTGAATATGTTGTATGTTTCGATAACGTTAATCATATTTGCATGTTATTTGTGTTCCACTTAATTCAAAAAAAGAGAAGAATTGTCTTTTAAACAAAATGAGGGATTTTTATGTGACAGGGATAATATTTCTTGGATGTTAATGATATCATTTTTGCTTTTATTGTTATTTCAAGATTTAAATTAATTCATTTTTAAATTTAAGCACAAACAACAACTGAGTTAATCAGTCCTGGAATTTCTGAAAGTGAGTTTTATTATTTTTTCATAACAAAGATGTGTTACATAATATATAGCGCCCAGTGCTCATTCCTGGTTAGAATAGTTCCCCAGCAACCTTTGCTGGGTGGAAGAGGTGACTTCAGGGATCGGTCACTGTGTGCTTCGACCGTGAATATCCGGGTTAGAAAAGGCCTTCGGCAACCCATGCTTACCGTAAAAGGTGACTATGCTTGTCGTAAGAGGCGACAAACGGAGTCGGGTGGTTGTTCTTGCTGATATGGTTGATGTATGTCATTGTACCCCCAACTGATCGTTGCTCCTGATGTCAATGATGTGAATATTGCTGTGTGATTTTCATAACAAACAAAAAACGATTACATATCAAATCTTGCATCAGCTAATTTTGATATTTTGATTCTTGATTTTCCACGCAAATATTCTTCTGATTGTGTATGTGCAAACAAGGCCCCCACAAGTCGTACCTTGGTGTCGGAGTTGCCATAGGTGTGAGTGTTATGCTGATTGTGGATGCCATCTGTCTGGCACTGGCGTTTATCTTCAGGTACAAACTAGCAGCCAGAGTAGCAGGTAAAACATACCATTAGATATTTGCTAACACTTGATAAGAATTGGTATATTCAGGACAATATGCTGCATGCTGTAGATATGCGTTAGGAATACAGCAAACGCATTTGCGCCGAAGGATAAATTAGTATTTATAATAATATTCTTAAGCTTCTTTCAAGAATATGTTCATTTAAACTGTTATGATCAGGCAAGTGAGGTTTAATTTGGGCAATATGTCATGCCATTTGTTGACAGCGTCGCATTAAATTAATGTTAACATTCACTATTGTAAATATTGATAGACGTCGTGTAATAAATGTAGGATTACAGAATGATCTGAGTTACTATACTTAGAAAGTTATAAAACAAAATATTATTTTGGAGGGAAATTTTGAATCTTTAAAAATTTAATTTCTCCTAAAAGAGCTCACCAAGTAGCAGTTAATTGAGATAAGGGATAAAACGAATCATGTCAATATTAAAAGATGATATTATTAATTAGGAGGATGAGGGAGAAGTTATTAATGAATTTTTCTTAAATATGACTTGAAACGCGCGAGTAAGTGAATCATTTGTGTTAAAGGCCGTTTTGAGCAGTATTTCAGTTGTATCATTTCGCGCCAACGTTAACATGAGCAGGGTAGGGAAGATTACAATGATGAAGCCGCGAGTCCAGTTCAAAAGCGTGGGCATGGTCAATCTGTGATTGACACCTAGGATTTTAGCAGTTTCACACAGCGAATTGCGGCGCCGACTTGGTCACTGGGGTTTTAGTTCATGTCTCAACATGTGAAACGTAATTAAGCACATCATCAATTTGCGTTCAAGAGGATATTGTTGCTTTCAAATATAGCAAACAATTTGAAAATATTTTTCAGGGACAAAGGAAACGAGTGATACACATATGAGTAGGTAAGTGAAACACTTTTCAAAAATAAATAATTAAATTTTTATTACAATTTCTGTATTCTGACTGAATTGGTCACATGGTATTGCCTTTATTTCCTAAGGAATGCTCAAAATTGAGCCACGCCCAAGCCTTTGCGGACAATCCTAATTACAGTCGAGGGAATTACTCTTTCTGCTCACTTGTATCATCATACACATGACTTTGTAGCGAAGTTCATCCATGTTCATCGTCAACACCATCTTCGTTCCCGACGGCAGGGAATGAATGTACCTATCGCCATTAACCAAAGAATTCGCATTGACTTTTATTATTTGTTAGGGTTTTCTTTTTCTTTTTAACTAAATCTCTTCAAATCTGACGTTTGGGATGGGACATCAAACACCCTGACAAGCACGCCCTCCAACGCAAACCCATTACATACCTTCTCCAGCAAGTGTTTTATATATACACAGGTATTAACCTGAAGTCCTATCTCTTTCTCTTCAGAGTACAAATATCATCTCCCGTCGCCATAACAGGCAGAGACCAGACGCAATCACAAGGTCAGAGTCCATTATTGTGTTCTTATTATTTACTAACAGAAAAGTATTCCTGCAAAAATGATAATAATAATAAAGGGCGCGAAAGTTATCCTTTCTTTTCGACCCACTTCAAATATCAAATTATCAAGTTACAAAACATTTTTGAAAATTGACATGAACATAATCAAACATGTTCAAAATCACAGCAACCCTTCTTGTCTTGAGAGACGACTTACAGAATTAGGTGGTCATGCTCGCTGACTTGGTTGATGTATGTCACCGTGTCCCAATTGTGAACACCGATGCTAGTGACAGTCACTGGATTGTCTCGTCCAGACTCGATACAGCAGGAATATCACTGCGTGCGGCGTTCAACAAAATGTTTTACTGAAAATATCAAATTATTACGTTACAAAACATGTCGAAGTATCGACAAGCACATAATCAGACATGTTCGAATTGTTAACAAGCAGCCTCTTTACTTTCTTACACTTTAAAGTTGAGGAGGCCTGACAAAAACATAAAAGTGACTAAAATAAGTAAAAAAAGGTCAATTTGGCGAACTTCAAGATCTCATCCATGAGGCATGATACATGCTATTTAGTAGTAATTAATTTAGTATTGTTCTTGTTTGCATCTGTAAGAAAATCAGATTGGATAGCTCGTGTCACAATATTAGAAGAATGCTTTCTGAAAACCTCCAACAGTCGTTTGGAAACATTTAATCCTTACCTACGCATTTGTGTTTTGATAGCATGAACATGCAGTTGTTAAAGTGAACAAAGTCAAAATAATGATTTGTAAAATGTGTCCTTATTTCTTAAATTATGCATAACCATACATGTACTATTAAAGGGCCCTTATCACACATTGTCCTTGTGCTAGTGTCGGTTACTAAGATGTGCTTCATGTATTCACTGATATTTGTTAATACATGTCTTTCAGAAGACCGCTCACCAGCAGCTAGCATTGAGTATGAAGCTCTACAGAGAGAAAATGTGGAGGCCCCTCACACGTATGAGCAGATGCACTTCTACCAGAATTTGTGAGCAATTGAAACACCTACAGTGAAACGTCAACGTGTCATCAAGACCCATATGGAAGAAGCACTGCCTATTTGGTTTCTATAATTAAATACCACATGGAGATGCCTTTACGAGCAACTCACATTCTCTGAGTGTTCGTTTTACAGAAACTACATAGCACCATAAGACATTATTCTGAACAGTTGGAGATATCATTATTGGAAAATTAACGTCTGCATCTCAAATACCATTGTTTGCACACTTGCATTATTCATATCATTTTATTTAGACCATAAATCATGGTTCAAGTGACTTTCTAATCAAGTGTGGCACAGATTGATTATAAGCAAATGAAATAAATCATAAATAAGCGTAATAAGGAAACAACTATTTGTTTTGTCTTGTTGAATAGGGTATTTATTGTTGGAGTACATTTATGATTTTAGATGAGGAACTGGACAACGAGACAGTTATAATTTGAGAAAAAATTGCAAAAGGGCAACAAAGTGTTCATTCATTCATTTGTGTTCCCTTAGACAACGACTCGGTCACCTGTATCCCCTGTTCTGGGCCGGGCAATAGTTGACCTTCAATACTGTTAAGAAGAAAAGTTTGAAAATATTAGATAGATACTATACTGCAATACTATTTCTTGAAAAATATTTTTACTATCTTCTGCTAACTCTCATAACTATATGTAAATCTATACAAAGGAATATTTCTTAAAATATTTCAACAAGAAATATATACACTGCGTCTGTTCTGTGAAATGTACATACACCCAATAAAGTCCTGTTACAATGTGATTTTCTTTATATGAAAGAATAACTAACTCGTTCTACTCTAGTTGCATAAATGCAGCTCAAGCAACGTTCTCCCTTCATATCATTTCACGGAAGACTTACAATGAAACATCAATATCAGTATGATGTAATCATTAAAGACGCTTAGCCTATGTTACTTTCTATCGTGAATACCATATGGGACCGGGTTAGAAGTGATCTTCAGAAATCCGTGCTTGTCTCAAGAGGAGACTAACGTGATCGGATAATCGTGCTCGCTCTCTTGGACGATGTATGTCATCGTTTCCCAATTGCGTAGATCGTTGCTCATGATATCAATCACTGGATGTTCTAGTCCAGACTGGGTAATGTACAGACCGCCGTTATACAGCTGGAATATTGCTGAGTGCGGCGCTAAACAACAAACAAAGCGGAGAACGAAATTTTCAACGTGTTCCTGTTTGATTAGTGAGTTAAAATTTAACGTCTCATTTGCATTACAGTATTTCAGCCTTTAGCGACGTGTGTTCCTGTTATATAGACACGTGCACTATATGGCATCATGACAGACAATCATGCCGAAGCACACTATATTTGCAAGACTTTTGCTGATGCTATTTTCCATATTTTGAGACATCACGATTGGAAATTAGTTTTAAATGAACGTTCAAACTGTTAACATCGAAAACACACATTATCTCAAAACTAGCATTATGAACAAATGTGAATACTTGCTGTGTTCATATCAAGAAAACCTTTTACATTTGGACCATCAATCATTGTTCCAGATGACTCACTAATCAAGTGTGTCACAGATGAATAATAAGTTTTGTATTTAAACCATAAATTGGTTTAATGAGGTAACCGCTATTGTTTGGCAATTTACCAAATCGTAAATGATCCACATTTGGGAAGTGTTAAAAGCTGGTGTAAGGCAGGGAGCGACGTTTGGTCATTTAAGGTGGAGAGCTTGAGGGTAAATTTGGCCCCGGCATCACCTCGTTGAAGCGACAGGGGGCGTGTCATGTACGTGGTCGAATTTCCGCGGTAGTAAGTGTTATTAAGGCGGGTTTACTTGTCATTTAGCTGCTGTCATCATTACATTTACATACATATGTAGCAGATACGGCTGTAGTATGGTGTAAGGAATGCATGTGATCGAATAGAAACCTAGAGGTTTTACAACCTTCCACCATTACACTTCGTAAATTTAGTAGCACGGGAATGATAGATGCATATAAGGCCAAGCACACTGTTTTAGGGTTAAAAGATTCAACAGTGTAAACACACATTCAGGAAACTTGTCGGCCATCTTGAAATTGGTGGCCATCGTGAACTTTTGTAGATTTGTCAACAGTCGAAAACGTTCAGCAGTTGTGAATATCTTTTTAGAAACACATGCTTTTTTATCAAAACATTGAACCTCATCTAAAATATAGAAGATATATTGATATTTGGTGGCCATATTAGATTATGCAAATAAGACATATTTCCCAATCTGGGATTGCTTGGGACTTTTAGTATGTTGTTTTCTGGACCTTGTAGAAATGTATTGTGGAGAAAAACATTCTGTTGCAATTTGTTACAAGTGAAACCTTTCTTTGCCTGGAATATTAGGCCAAAAACACGATTGTTTTCAACTGTCTGACTGACTTGCACTAACTCTTTTCGTTTTCGTTGCGCCGTGTTTATTACGGATGTTAATGATTTTGTACCCAATGTTTTATTTTGCATTAGTGATAAAGAAAGTTATGAGTTTCTTGCACGCTCCCATAGTGCTTCAAAGTCATATTATGAACTTGATGAAATGTTTTAGTATTCATGTTCTGCTCATTTAGTATTGATAACAATATATATGTGAAATATATCTAATAATCTGCTGACTACTGAGATATATATTGTTTTAATTTCTTGGGTACAAAATCACTTGGGTACATATTTGTTTTGGGTACAATATCAAATACGTCCTTTTACTGATATACAGCAACTTACCATTCTAGGAAAGAATAAAGTGAGCTGAAAAAAGTCTCAATAAATGTTATTATCTAAATTAGAACATACTTGCACTTGATACTTAGTTCAAATGTGATAGATCAAGTCTACATACATTGATTGAATAACTGAATGTACTTTGACGGATTTTTTATCCAATGTGTTTACATTGCAGATGATAACAGACACCCTCGATGCTAGTTTAAAGAAGAGGGGGACCAGGAGAGTTAGACAAATAATTGAAAACCTGATGATCCAATCCGAGAAAGCAATCTCAGATTTTAGGCAGCAAACCATTGCCGCTTGTAAAAATAGTTATGCTTACATTATTTGAGTTATTTATTAGTTTTGATTAACAAAGGCTGACCAAAATGATACTGGTCATAAATGTCTTCAAGTGGAAAAAAAGAAGTCCCCACACAATTATTAAGACTTACAGTGTAAATTATTTCTGTATGCTTTTAGTATGAAGTTACAAACACAAACCTATTTCAATGTTCTGAAGGTACAGGAAGTACTTGCCTCCATAAACGTTTGGTTTATATGAGTTACATGGTATGTTTCTAAATAATATAATACTATTCTCACTATTAATCTATACTGTTTCTTGCACTTATAGGAGACGGGCCACCTCCGACTCCAGTTAGTCCCATGACAGATGCAGCTGTAGAGGCCATTGGGAGGCAAAATATAAATGTGACAGGAATCTCCGACTCATGTGATTCCACTGCCCTACACCTACTCGATGCCATGACATCGAGTGGAAGGGACATGTGATAAACATTTTAATGTTTATCTGCTTGATATAGCAGTAAAAGTTCTGTAAATGCTATTTTCAAAGACCTCATATTTTATCATCAATTTAATACTGACACAGGAGATATTGCTAGTGTGAAGTCAATCATTGCCTCCAAGGTTGCTGATCAGTTGGCCTTGGGGTGAGCTTACGGTTAGCAACCTGAACAAATTTAAGTCACAGTAAATTGCCACTCACTTATGCTGGGATTATGCAGGGATAATGCTGTCAAGGTTTCAAGGCCGGTCGCAAGTGAAATGTTTCTCAGACCCTGTTTGCATCCATTAATCTATTTATGGGGCAATTGCAAGATCTCCACCTCTAGAGAGCTCATTTTGCGTATTTAATCCTGGCAATGTTTTCACTTTAATTTGGTAGCCGCATAGAAAATATCTCATTGTGCCGCGACTCAGATGTTTGCATTTTTTTGTAATTTGACAGATAGTGAAACGTATGGTTTGGATTTCAGAAAATGTTACATGCAATGCCCTATTATTATCTTAGAACATCTAGACAATTTGTACATTCTACTTATTGGAGCGACATATTTTTAAAACTTTTGATAGAAATAGAACAGTGACCCTTAAAGTTCTTCCACAGTGTTTATCTGAACATTCTTTCCTTTCCTTATTGTGCATCATGTACCATTAACACATGACATTATCCTCCATAAGGTTTACATTCTTAGCATTTTAGTACAGCCATAGTCGTTCTTCACGTGGGGTGCTGAATGTCTGCCACATTGAACTGTTAGTCTAAATTTGGTACATCTGAAATCTTGAGATAATTATTTTATAATACAGCTGAAATTTAGATAGTTTTCCCATATTCTTGTATTGCTTCACGATACCCCACATGCACGTCATTTGTGCAGCAATTGTATGGATATCAGTTTTAACCAAAACAAATATGATAACGTGTAATATCAATATCATTATTTCAGTTGCCCCTAATTTCCCTGTATATAGGACGGGATATCCATATCACAATTTCAGTTGCCACTAATTGACCTGTATAAAGGACGTGATATCTATATCACATTTACAGTGGGCTTTAAAAACTTACCCGTTGGGTATATCAAAAAAAGAACGTGTAGCCAGCATATTATATCATTATACCGAATATCTGTCCAACCATCCGTCCAACAATCTACCTCCCAGAGAAGTGATCTATAAGATTACTTGTGTCTGTGGTGGCTCGTACATTGGTGAAACCTCCTTCCCAGTAGACACAAGTATCAAAGAACATAAGACAGCCCTCTCAGGCCACCAGGAAAGATTCACAAGCCTTCAAATTCAGTCGAAATCCTCTCAATCAAACACCAGAAGCTATAGAAATCAGATCAGAGATCATCGGTATTACATCTCGTCTGCCTATGATGCTCTAATCAAGTCTGGCTTGGTGTTGGAGTGGCTACATGTGTGCGTGTTCTGCTGATCGCGGTTGTCATCTGTCTGGGTCTGGTCTCCAGCTACAGGGGCAGAGTGGCAGGGTGGATATCAGGTGCAAATTCCGTTACATGAAATACATATTGTAGCTAAAAGATGATATCAAAGACATAATAAGGAAAGCAAAGAAGTACAGCGTAAAGCTACGTTCTGAGGCATGACCTGCTTGAATAAAAACGTGTATAACTACTCTTTAAATACCCATATATATATATATAAATTCATTATAGCGTTTAAAACTTCACAAAGAATTCATTTCTTGCGATAAGGATTTATATATACTGTGCCAAAATGTAGGGGAAAGTGGGAAAATATCTTCTGATCTGATATGATCATATCTGCTGGAGAGTAGGCGTTCAGATCAAACGGGTTCTAAAGTTTGGTGTGGCGCACAAGGTCGTTAAAGAGGTAGGGGTCAAAATTGGAATTTGAAATTCTTCATGATATGCATCTGATGAGGTGACCATTGTCAACCTTACTCATGTTGTTCCACTTATCAGTGAGAGCAACACAGAGTTCATTGAGAGCGGTGGGTGGACGTTGACGTTGACGTTCACATCTGCCAATTACGTTCCAGGCGTGTTCTTTGGGGTAATGGTCAGGCCTAAGTGCTGGTAATGGCAATACATGGATGTTTGGCTGTTGGGGGAATTGGGTCACAATCCTGGCACGATTAGTACGTGCATTATCATCTTGAAAGATGAAACGTTGCCAAACACGAATGGTTCAGTGATGTCGTCCCAATAGCATTGACCTGTGGCTCGGCCATGTACAATCTGAAGTGCTGTTCGGCCAGTCATTGTGATACCACTCCATCCATTATTGACCCACCCCCAAAACGACAATGCTTTACTCGAACTCGATTCTTTCGATCATGGAAGCGAAGCCGAGAGTGAACCTCGATTGGTCAGTAAATATGACATATACCCAACGCCAATTATCCCAGTGCTGACGTTCCCCTTACCACTAACGCTTCTGATTCAAATGACGTGCAGTAAGCTGTGGGATGCTACGTGGACGTTGTGCATGCAAATGCCATCTATGCAGACGATTTCCGTCTGGGCATGTTGTCTAGATCTTACACCCGTTGCCTGTTGCAACCGTTCCCTTATCTGAGTGGCAGTTTGCAACCGATTTCTTAATGAATCGTTCTCACTAATCTATCCTTGGCTTAAGTTGTTGCTCTTAGGCGTCCAGAGCGGCGTCGATCATCGACGACATGTGTATGTCGGTATCGAGGCCAAAATCTGCTGCTGACAGATTGAGAAACATGCAGTGTTTGGGCGCTGACGTGTGCCAACTTGAAACATGCCTGTGGCACGTAGACGTTCAGCACGTTGCAAACGTCGCACGATCAGTGCTGTTGCTACCTTAATGATTAAGTGTGTTAAGTGTTTTTGAGCGTTTGGTTCGAAGAAAACAATATGCATCTGCTCACAACCGAGTCGTGGTGACAATAGTAAATCTGGCATACAACCCCTTGCAGGTGCTTGTCTGATGTCACGTGTTTCATGACTGTCACAGTGCTGTATTTTACCTTCATTGCCAGGTGTATTTTCCTGTAGTTTCACCTCAAAACAATATACCCCCACCTTTTTGCATAGTATATAATATACTCTTCAAAAAAGAAACTTGACACTGACTTTCAAAATGTAATATAATGCGATTGTTTCAAAATAGGACACAAAAACCATAATTGAAACACTGTTTGAAGATCAATGTACACAATTTTCAAAACATTAATCGTGTCACCTAGACAGACACACGTACACGATACAGTTAATGTCACAGGGGTACAGAAAATGTCAGTATCGGTTGTGCCCACCATGTGCATCAATCACCTCTTGACACTGACGACCCATAGATGCAATCAAGTTGTCAATAACACGCTGTTGGATGTGCTGCCATTCATGCTGAAGTGCATCAAGAAGCGCCGGAAGTGTTTGGGGCGGTGGATTCCTTCTGCGAACGCGTCGATCCAACTCGACCCACAGATGCTCAATCGGGGACACATCTGGTGACCGGGCTGGCCAAGGTAATGGCTGCATGTTGTTGTGCTGTAAGAAATCCTGACAAACATGTGCAATATGCAGTCAAGAGTTGTCCTGCTGGAACTGTCCGCCATGAACGTTGACGTGAGGAAGAACGTAAGGCTGAAGGATCAAGTCTCTGTAACGCACACCTGTCAATGCACCTGCCACATATCACGAGAGGCGTCCTACCACCGTGATGAATTCCGGCCCATACCATGACACTCCCCCCGCCAAACGGGACAACCTGACGTCGAACAGGTCTTCGTGCAAAAAGTCCAGCCTCCCTCAGTCTGTTTCGTACCGTTTGATCTGTTATTCTGCGTATCCCAGGGATCTGTGTGGTTGTAGACGTGGCTGTGGTAGTGCGGTCTCGGAGGTATCGCAGCCGGATGTATCGGTCTTGTGCTTGGGTTGTCACCCTTGGTCTTCCTGACCTTGGTCTGTCGTCAACTCTGTTGGTGTTGTTGTATCGGGTCCACAGTGCGGACATTGTCTGTCTGAATACGCCAAAGTGCCTGGCCACTTCTTGCTGAGTTGCTCCAGCTTTTAATCTCCCAATGGCGTTGTTCCGTTGAGCTGCATTCAGTCTTGGCATTCTGTCACCGCCTCTACTGCCGTTATAAGGACTGTATGAACAGCCGTTGATATGGATTTTTATACCCATTCAGCAGGGGGGGCTGCATGCCTAAATGCAGGATCCTGTGCTGCACGTTTTTTACAGGCGGTTGCGTTTGGATGAAGCTGTAAAATTGATCCCCAAACACTACGTTTATGTGCTTTGCATGTATTTTCGCGAACTATAGACACATTATCTTTCTGTTTGACTTATTTGGTTCTCATTTTATGTAATTATTTTAGATATTTGGCAAAATTTGGTTTTACATCTATGTCAAGTTTCCTTTTTTGAAGAGTATATAAAGACAAAGGTAGAGTCAAATATCAGGCATTTGTGAGATTAAAATAATACTTTGAAAATAACCTTTTAATATCAGCTATAGTTTTTTGCTTTCATATCATTTTAATGTTTCTTGAATGATATTATTGCGTTCATACAACAGAAACTTTGTTGAACAGTTTCCTATTTCAGGAGCAAAGAAAACCAGCGCCACCAATGTGCCTATTGTAGCAAAGTATATACTACTTACGTACCTCTAGAAGTCACAGAACTGATAATTGAATATAAACACTTAAACAGATGTGAGCCATTTATTTATATAAGCATTACATTGTTTTAAATGAAGATGTAGCGCCTCCCTAAAAGCGTAAAATGCATGAAATATCTTTCAATTTTGTCTGTTATGATTTATTACTAACAATGCAATGTTTACGCAGTAGTATATAAAAACAACAATTTCGTGAAACACGTCACATTGCCCTACAATGTGGCGAAAAGAACTCATTGTAAATTCAACGTTATCATTTGTTATTATATAACAATCTTAATAATTGTAATCCTGTCTTCCGCAGAACGCAGATGGGTTCATTGTGATGGACTGCCGGAAACAGTAGACAAGGTCAGACTTTTTCTTTTCATTATTTTCATTATAACTGCCGTGCTTTAACTAATATCTACATTGTGTCAGGTTTGGCCTGCAAGTCTTGAACTGTTGAACATCTCACTGGGATACGTCTTTATCCGGATGACTTCAGGTATATCGTTCATGCACGTTCTTCCTGATAAATTGTTCAATAAATCCAAATAGTCACATCAAATGCTTTTTTGTATTATCATTTTATGTTCCTCTGCTAAAGTCCGTCAACTCTGTTTAGGCCGTCATACAATGACGTCCAATGCCACTTGTATCCCGACCCTTCACTGATGTCAGTGGTGGATCTGTTTCATGAACACCTGGTTTCAGTGTCATTTGTCAGGGATTTGTGAGTGTAGGTTCTTGTATGCATTACACATTCGAAACCGACAAGGTACCTGAATGTTTATATCATCGCTTTGAAGCAATCTTGACAATGTCATCTGTAGTGTATGTGTGTTTTAGATCTTAGAGTGTTTGAGAGATCATCCTAAGTGGGACATAATCTGGGACATATCCTTACAGCACTCTCGACTATATGATAAAGGTCTCGTCATACATGTAGTTCATGGTGTCTGGGGGAACAGAATTATTTGTTTCTAGGCCTTGCTCGTTTCTGCGAGGGGCCAAGAGTGACCTAGTCGTCTAAGGGGCGGCAACCTATGACCGTTGGTTCGAATCCCGGTTTGTCCTGATTAGATTATGTTTCTAGATTTGTCAGCACCATGGTCCTGCACGAGGGTTTCACCAAAGCAGTAAACTTCTGAGGCCTACATCACTTCGGGCTTTCCTCCCAAATCAAGCTATCACGCCGTGATATAACTGAGTACTGTTCAAAGCAGCGTTAAAATCAACTCACTCACTGCGATCGATTTGCAAACAGACTGATTATTCATGATGAGTTAAATGTTAATCTCTACGTAGCAGGCATGACAGTAGTCCACAGAATTAAAAGTGCCATCGGATATATTATTGGCCTCACCAAACCATACGTGAGTACGTGAGTAAGTAATGGCTTGATACCAGTATACTTCACAGTGTGACATGTTGTGGATGCTTGGCCCTTTGACACAATGACGAAACAGAGAGGACTAAACAAGGGACACAGTATTAAGCAGAAGTTGTGAGTTGGGTTTAACGCCGCATTTAACAGCATTCCAGTAATATCAAGGCGTGTCAGCTAATGTGAGAGGAAAGACCGAAGTGATTTAGGTGTTAGACGTTTTACCACTTCGGTGAAACCCACGAGCACGGGTATGGTGCTGACAAACCTAGAAACACAATCGGGGCGAACCGGGATTCGAACCCACAATCATAGGTTTCTGGCGTGTCAAGGGACGCAACTCTGCACAGCGAATTTGGGCGCCTGGGCCACCCGTGCCCCCAGGAATACATAAACGAAGGTCAGATTTTTGTGTCCTCTCATGATAACCATGAGTGAGACAGTGGATAGCCGTATTGAGGTGTTTACGTACTTCTTGCTGGCATATTCTGTGAAATGTACAGCGGCTGAATATGTAACCAGCGGATACCAAGCACGATGAACAAGCACTCAGGATGAAATATGTGTCATGGTCGGAAGATGTGTCATTTCCGATATTATATTTGATGGTCACTGACGCACAACGCCACACCGTCCCATGAGCAGGATGCGACATGCTTGAAACAGTCACTGTACACTTCATATGACTCAAAGTCCGATTTTGTTAAATCGACATTGCTTCACAAGAAACAAAAATATTCATTCAAATGTGATTGACACAGGCAATAGTATATTCCATACAGCTTTATTTCACTCTCGATTCAACATTATGGTAAAATAACATTAGTACTAGTAGAATAGCGGAACAACGTTAGATGATGCCAAACCATATTGACTTAATCACGCAACATAAATTACTGACTGAGTTTGGGGTAACGTCGTTTTAAACAATCTTTACTATTACGTTTCAGTTATATCAGAGTGAGTCAGACGTTAAAGTGAACGCTGTTATTCGCAGTCTTATATAACTAGGAAGTATGGTCTACGCGACAATATTATCAGCATATATGGGAAATTATATAACGCGTTGAACAGGTCCAGAAATAGCCGACAATAATGAAAACGTGTGGCTATTGATATTGCACATCGAGCAGACAGAATATTGATGATATACACTTATATACAACAACACAAAGATGCACAATATATCTTTCATGCACCACCCAAGGATTTTCACTAAGAAAACTAAACAAATGTTGAAATATAGGAGCCTAATCTGTTACGGATCCGGACTGTGTAGCACTAGAGACACATTTTGACATCTGTCACTATGTTCCTTTCGTAAATATGTAAATGATTTGAGCAAAACATGACTTGGCGTCCCCACATTAACATTAGCACCGTGAGCAAAGAAATAATGTTAAATCCATGAGGAGAATATTTAACAGCAGTGAGCAATTAAAACGTCTTTGCGAACATTTGCTATTTTGTAGAACATGAAATAAGGTGAGGTGAAATGATGGATAAACGTCGCGTTCATGATTTTTGCATTTACATAGCGACCTGCATGCATGTGTGTGTGCGGCTGCTTGTACTAGTCCGGACTAATGTCGATGTTATAGTGCTTGCCCACTGAGATACCATGCCGCAGTTTGACATGAATACACTACTCAGACACACTCTACCACTAGACCACGGAGGCGGTCACACGAAAGTAAGCAAGCAGAATATTATACAGTTTACATGTCAATACATAATGGTTATAAGCCACGTCGCATCGTAAGACAACAAGGAAGTGCTAGAAAACGTAGCAGGGGGCAAATTATTGCTGGATAAGGGGACAGACATCGACAATCTGAAACCTTTTGACATCTATTATACATAAAGACTGATGTTCCAAGCATTTTCATGTGTTCTTAGTCACCCTCTTTTCTTACACTTGAGATATACATTGCCTACAGCTGGTTACAAACTCAGTATGATGGAAATTGTGAGTGAGTGAGTGAATGAGTGAGTTGGGTTTAACGCCGTTTTGAACAGTATTCCAGTTATATCACGGCGTATCAGCTTAATATTTGAGATACTTGATGCAGGTCTCAGACGTTTACCACTTTGGTGTATCCACGAACACTGGAATGGTTCTGACAAACCTAGAAACATTAAGAAGGCGAATCGGGATTCGAAACTCACGATCACAGAAATCCCGAAGTAATGCAGCTCTCAGCTGATGACAAAAATGTGATAGGTCAAGTTGTGCTAGTAAAGTGAACATATTTTAGTGTTGTAAAGCATTTTGTTCGGATGATATAGTACGCTTAATGTGTTTTAGGAAACTGGTACCTAGAGTTGTTCAAATTGTTGTCCAGCATTAGGAAGAGTGGGTACAAGTAAGTCAATGTACAATTGCTATAAGGATCACCTTGAATCTGCGAAGAAAAATATAGAAATATTTACATAAAGCAATAAATCAGTAGACTGAAATAATTGTATCTTCTTTTCAGTCGACACAGAGCACACGGCTGTCATCTCCACAGTAGTTTGAAGTAACTGAGGCTTATCTCCGCCATTCAGTGTTAAAACTGCCTCAGTGTGTACAGGTGCCTATATAAAGAAGCTCTGTCTGTCCTAGCTTCAAGGATGCCTGCCACTGGAGGAACCTGGTCTCAGCATGAGACGTTTAAAGTTACCATCCAACATGGGATATTTGTAACACAAAAAATAATCTTTGCTGATGCTGTTGTCATTAATCCTATTCTGTAAATGGCTTGCAAAAACAGTTAAATGTGTTACAGAGTTGCTGTTCAAAATGTAGTTAATCTGAATAAAACCAATGCTGTAGGTTTTAGAAAAGGTGGTATTGTTGCAAAACATGAAAAATGGTTTCTTGGTTCGTCTACCTTGAGTATAGTCACTTACTAAAAATATTTAGGTCTTATGTTCTCCTCTAGATTGTCATGATCTATGGCATGTAAGCAATTAGCTGTTTAGGCGTCGAAAGCCATTAAACCTCTTTGTAATTTATTCAGGAAAAATAGTTTTGTGTCTTTTTCCACAGCATGTACCATTTTTTATACTTTTGTATGGTTCTGATATATGGGGTGCTAAGTTCACACTTCATATTTCAAATGTTTTCTCGGTGTTGGTAAGTTTGCCTCAAACAAGGCAATCCTTGGTGAAACAGGCCTAAGGAATATACTGAACCAAATTAAAAACTTCACAATCCTAAAATTTTAACAATTTGAGCAGTTATCATTGTTGGCCCTTATTGTGTATTTAAACAGTAATGGCCACGTAATGTCTTCAGATAACACCCGTTTTTGTGCAGGTGAATCGATCAAAATCAAGTGCACAACACTATAGTGGCAAAAGTGTTTTTTCACGTGCAACTGGTCACGTGGCCATAATACCGCACGTGTTTTCAGCCATACTTGTTAGCAGTCATTAACAAAAAAAGAAAAACACAAGAAACCAAAAGTCTTTACGGCCATTTGTCATGCCACGCCTTTCAAATGTGCAACGTGAACGTGTCGTCGGCATGTTGAAGACGGGAACGTCCGTAGCTGAAGTCGCAAGGACGATGGGTTGTAGTCGACGGACTGTTTATGATTTACAGACGCGTCTACAGCAAACGGGTACAACCGCTGATCGCCCTCGGCCAGGTCGACCACGTGTAACGTTACATGCAGAGGATCGTCAGATTGTCTTACGTCACCTCCGTAACCGATTTTTGACGGCTACATCAACCAGAAATGAACTGTTTAGGGGTAGACTGAGTGCGCACACTGTTCGAAACCGTCTGAGAACTGCTCACCTTCAAGCACGACGGCCATACTGCGGGCCGATTCTGACTCAATTACACAGACGTCAACGTCAATTGTGGGCACATCGACACTTACGATTGACTCAGAGGAATTGGAATCAAGTCGTCTTTAGTGATGAATCCCGATTGAATTTTCGATTTGCTGATGGTACGGCGAGGGTGTGGAGGCGCCGTCATGAACGTTACGCCCAGTGATGTGTACAGGAAGTTGACAGTTTTCGAGGCGGAAGTGTCATGGTGTGGGGTGCTTTCTGTGGCAATGCACGTTCCAGGCTTCTTGTCATCCGTGGCAACCTCAACGCTGCTTCTTACCGCGACCAGGTACTGGCACCGGAACTTCTGCCTTTTATGGCAGCACATGGACCCGGTTTGATCTTCAAACACGACAATGCCAGACCCCAAACAGCAGTTTTGACAAGGAATTTCCTTCAGAATGCGGGAGTCAACGTCATGGACTGGCCGTCAAGGTCTCCCGACCTCAATCCCATCGAACACGTCTGGGATGCTCTTGGCAGAAGTCTGCGCACTCTCCAGAACCAACCAAAGAATCTGCAAGATCTTGGCACCATTTTGCAGCAACAATGGCGTCGTCTTCCCAATCATGTGTTCACAAGCATCACAAGGTCCATGCGGAGGCGTTGTGTGGCAGTTGTCAACGCACATGGTGGCCATACACGCTACTGAACTTGTGTGCCATCAGATTCTCGTGCTTGGGACTTATGATTTAAACTGTTGATGTTATTACCGAATACCGAAGATGCTTGGAACAAATTATGGTTACCACCGTTAATTAAAATCCTTCTTTGGACATTAATGATTAAAAATTCCTTTCTCTGATACATTTGTCCGTTGTATATCATATATGGGATTACTTTTAATTTGACTCAGTATATTTTTGTAGCCATCCAATTAAGGGTAATTCAGTATTGGATTAAATTACTTAGAATGATGCCTGATAGATACCCATATCAGTGTTACAAAATGTTGAAGCTACTTGATGATAATGGCAGCAATAATTGGGTTTCAGATGTGAGAAATCAGTTATTTGTTAGTGGTTTTTCATATGTATGTATTTCTCAAGATGTTGGCGATCCACAGTTATTTTTATTTTCATTTAAGCAAAGACTAAAGGATATATTTTGTCAACAGTGGCACCAAAGTATTTCTGAATCACTTTATCTTATCAATTACAGCAGAGTAAAATCATTGTTACAAACTGAAAGATATTTAACTTGTTCAAATGATAAAAGTGTGATACGAGCTTATTGTAAACTTAGAATTTCATTGCACAATTTTAATGTAAATGTATGTCGCAGGTCCAAAGACGGTGATATTGTCAGTTCTATTTGTACAAACTGTTCATCCGGAGAAGTAGAAGATAATTACCATTTCTTACTTATATATGAAACGTATTCCCATTTAAGGTATAATTTTTTCCCCATGCTGCAAGGTATTTTTAAAGACCGGCAGGTAATGATAAATCTGCTTAACTCTGAAAATCCATGATCTATGCTGTTTCTGTATTCTTAAAACATGTCTTTAAAATGAGGAATGTGTGACTAGATTTAAAATCTAATCATGTACATCACGTTACAAATGTTAATATCCAATCTGCATTGTACTATGGGCCTTGATGCCTAAATTATTGAATAAACTGTCTGTCTGTCTGTCTGTCTGTCTGCCCGTTTAAAGTTACTGTCCAGCGGATCAATATGTCAATAGAAGCATCATTTACAAAATAATCGACATCAAAAACACTTTTACAGTGATTGTAGTTTCAATGCATCATTGATCAGGACATTGGTGCTCAAGTCTGCTTCCCTCTGTGGATTAACGTTGTTTTCACACGAGAGTCATTATGCACATGTTCAGATGATATGATTCTGTTTCAGGCATACACCTTTGATAGTGTTACTTCCAATGTAATTAATAGGACAGCAACAATTTTTAATCAGATATGAAAATTGTATCAGAGTGTAGTGTTTATGATTTTGCTGTGAGGTATGATATGCTTAGTGAGTGAGTAAGTGAGTATGGTTTTACGCCGCTTGTAGCAATATTCCAGCAATGTCACTGCGGGACACACCAGAAATGGGCTTCACACATTTTACCCATGTGGGGAATCGTACCCCGGTCTTCGACGTGACGAGCGAACGCTTTAAACCACTAGGCTATCCGGCCGCCCCTAACGTATGCATGGATTTATCCTGCAAATTTATAACAATTTCCATTAATTTCTACAGCAGTAGAGACATGACACTAGATCAGCTGATGATATGGCGGAAGAATTAAGAATTCCGGAAGAATACAGGATATCCACATCTGAGTCACTTCACACGGTAGCATTCATAGCTGTCATGTACACAATGTTCTTATCACCGCATGCATACAGATGATGTGTACTTTCTGTATTGGCTGTAAGATGGACCTTAAATGTCTTTTACTTACCACATTGACTCAACTCATCTCATGTCAAGACCGTGAGTATATACTATACTTCATTTTGAAGCTGCCCTGAATGACCTGTGGTCGAAGTCTTTCCTCTCACAAGCATGATGAAATGGAAAGTACTGTTCCAACTGAGCTTACTGGCATACCCACTAGAATCTCACTTGGACAAAATATAGCATGTTTTCGGACTCGATAATGATCTTGATATGATTTATTTTGTTTAAAATCATAATAAATGGCATCTCGTTTACAGAGTCAACACGGTATTATGTGGACATTATTATACATATGTGTACCATGTACCTGTCAATGATATGAGACAGTTTGCACGTACCATAGAGCCGACATAGAAAGGGTCACATGACAGGGGGTGTAACAACCCGACTCGTATTTCACCTCCTGGCGGAGTGATATGGCTGATAGGCATTAGGAATGGGCGATCCACGTCAGCCCGGATGGTACACAGATTAGAGTTACGTCCCTTATTGCGCCGTCTGCATGTCTGCTCGCCTAGCTTCCCCGTAACAATGATTTACGAACAAGGTGAAACTGTATTGCAGACAGATTTGTGCGAATGGATACATGGTGATAATATAATGCCAGTTTCATTTCGCATTTCAACCCATGTGGTCTTGGTAAGTACTGATTAAGAAACACTACTTGGTATTATAATAGTAAACATCATTACTAATATATAAGACACGACGGTAAAAAAAATACCATGGGTACATGTGCAAGTTACATTTGCAGGGTATATATACCGGCTACTACACAGCGAGTAACTACCACAAGAATGTTAGTACATATAATGTCTCATATAATTAATAGAAGATATGGAAATATCACCTGTTAACATCTCTACTCCATAACCTTTAATGTTCATAACATGGAGCTAACGAAAAGAAAGAATACAAGATAGTATTATACATATCTAAATATATTACAGGAATATTGAAAATAACACCAACAAGAACAACTGTTGGATCGCCGGTAGAGTTAGTGTGTGGGCAGCCTACTCAAGCCTGGAGGAGTGTTTGGAATCGTGATGGTCAACACGTCCTCACTGTGGAAAAGACACGTGAAAATCCCTGCGTCGTGACATGGTCTATTGCTCGTCCGACGAATACGACGGTCACTTGTCAGGAAAATAGTGGACGTTTCTTGCTGAAATTTCAACAAACTATGATTGAACTAAATGGTACAATATGGGACTGCGAAATTGATGGTTCGGTCGTCAGCAAAAGTATAACTATTGACTTGACAGAGAAGACGAATGGTAATTCATTTTTTTTCCATTCTATAGGTAAACGTACTTACATTAGACGTTCTCTGGAACCAACGTAATCCAATTAGGAGGTAAACATACTGTTTTCAATGTAGAGCTAGGTTACCTGTAGATTCATCTACGCTAACTTGTAATAAAATATCCTCTTTAAAAAAGTAGTGGATACTCGCGATCGGAAATAACCTAAATTTTCCAAAAATGTAATGTATATTAGTTTCTAGTAACAGTGGTATGATAGTAATGAACGAATTGGGCACATAATAACCCGTAGTGAAGTCTGACAGTATATGTTATCTTGAAGGGCGATGACAAGAAAGCTTTAAGGGTGTCAGTATGTTGTTCCGATAGGACTGTCCAGTGACCCTTCCTGGCACCATATGAAGAGGGGTTCGCTCTGTCATAGTGATTCACTCCTCACCATAACCGATCCACCGCCAAATCTGTCACGAGGTCTAGAATTTACATTGCCTCGACGTTCATTTCGACGTAACAAATTGTGACATTGTGTGATCGTTCATTTGTCGTTGATCTGGGGAGCCATCAACGGGATTGATCGTCAACATTCTGGGTTTGTTGATAACTGTTCCATAATCTGCTAATCACAGACTAGAAACATTGAACGTACTGAACGCTGTCTTTTGTTTCAAGCATGCCAATAGCCCGCAGACGCGCGTTGCAGACGCCTCGTCGCTCGTTCATACACAAACAATGCATGAAACCAAGTAAATCCTAACTATATGATGAACAGAATTAACAAGATTGATAGAAATAATAGTCGACAGAGATTAATCGACCTTTCTTGGAAGTGTTAAAATCAGTAATGACACCCTACGCACGTGTACGGCGCTACTGCGTGAGGCACGTGCAAACTATTTGGTATAAACGTTCTTGAATAAATAGGATTTTTGTCAACACTTATCTTTGCTCCAGTATTTGGCACGGCTATTTATATTTCACTTTTGTTTAAGAGTATAGTTCTTACTGTACTGTAATAGCATGACACTCGTAGGTCTACTGTAATAGTGGGCATTTCCGACTAAGACTACAATGTTGACTGGAAATATAGCAGTAGAGAGGTTATTATAATCTTATCAAAGGAGATGAAAGGGAACTGTATTGTTTTCATACTACACAGGAACAATGTTTTCATATACATTAACCATTAACATTACACATCTGAGCAAATTAAATATAGAAGTCTATTCCTTGTGTGTTAAGTCAGAAATATAAATTTAAGGGTTCGATAATCAGATTCAAATAGCATGTTTAATATTTGACTATATCTTTAAACAACACTTCTTCTACATTTTCTAGCTCAACCAAATGTAAACGTCCATATGAAAAACAACGCTCTTCGTTATGGTGATAATATGTCCATAGTATGTAAGGTTAGTGGTGAAGCTAACGTCACGGACATTACCTGGAATCAGCACTGGAAGGCCAAGTTCATAAGGAAAGTCAAGGGTCCTTTTTCTGCACTGCACCAATATAACGTGACTGGGGTAACGTACGAAGATGAGGGCAACTACACCTGCAACGTGACAGCCGTGGTTCCACGTGAAGGGAAGGTGTTCCTGTCTGGATCTATTGAGATACTAATACATGGTAGACACTTTCTTCTTCTTTTGGGACTTAAATAGATTCCAGCGTCGAGTCATACATGCTTTGTTGTTCTGGTCACTTGATTATATCTATTGACTTGGGGAACAAGATTAAAAAATACTTAAATGTTTATTTATTAAAAAGTTACTTATAGACATATATGCGACCGGATAAAGATTCGGATCAGTTACTACAGGGATCACAATCCCATTGAGCATATATTTGAAATGAAATTGGACGCTGTGTCCGTTAACGCCATGTAGAACCTTACCAACTCCATGCACCTTTGCCTGAGAAGTGGCTTTGAATCTTAATTTTTACCATATAGACTCACATAGAGGCGATGTCCACTTTCACTCACCATGTTGTATTCTTGATTTTACTTCACGGTTTAACATACAAATCACCACCATTGATTTTCAATATAACTGTGCATACATATTTATATCTGAGGGAAGCTCGTGTACCAATCACTATTTATCTCACAGGCCAACCAGTATTCAAGTCACAAGGTCAAAGGCTTAAAACAGTCTCCCCAGGTCAAGATGTCACGCTCACATTCCAATATCTCGCCAGTTCCATTGTTGAAAATCACACAATTTTCCACAACAACTTTCCTCAGAACATCCCCAGCTGTAACAACAGTGTTGACCTTACTCTCCTGATGCACAATGTCACGTTGATGAGAGAGGGGTTCATGGTCAATATTACTCTCAACAATGTAACCCACCTCGAGCGGGGGAACTATTCCGTCAAGGCTTGCAATGATTTGGGTTGTACTACATCGTACTCAATACAACTGCAAGTTGTTTCAGGTAAGTTCTATCATATACCAAAGGTGATGAATACGACTTTAGTGATAGTACACGCGTGACACTGACATAACGCCCGCAGTCGTTGTATAAACAAACATACCGATCTTCTCCTATAAGCTTCTTTAACGTGACATAATTCAGATGGTTCGCTGTTATAATGATCGTGGATTTCACCAAAGTGGCTGGCGTACTTGTGCGCCACTGTCTCTTTTGGCATTCTCCCAACTTAAGCTGTCGGAAACCATGAGCAATGTTAAAACACCTATTTACTCGATAACTCTCAACTCAACAATTATAAACTCAAAAGCTCTCAACGTTTACACCTACTCACGTTTAATATTTCACTCATCAGCGCAGATTTCCATAGTCGTGTCTGCCATCCCATTGTAATAAGTGTGTGATAAGTAACATTGTTTTACTACATGCATATTTAATATTAAGAAAAAGAGGAGCAATTGCACACAAGTGGTAACATTCCTAAACCTAATGGAGATGAAAGAATGCCAAGTTGTAGCTGATACACAATTCTTGTACGTAGCATTTATACACTGCGGTATCTGCAGTATCAATGAAGACAGAATGACTTATGGATCAATGTTTCAATGTAAGTGTGGATACGTGCTTGACACATAGAGATTACTACACGAGTGCCTGTCAGATACCATTTATTTTACGAGCTATATCAAAACGTATCTAACGAGCGAAAGCGAGTTAGATGCGCTTTGAAACAACGAATTGTAAGATAAATGGTATCTGACAGGCACGAGTGCAGTAATCTGCTTCTTACACACCCTAAAATCTCACCTTTTTAGCATCGAATTTATGCATTTTGGCTGTTCTCATGATCGCAGTGGCGCATTAATACATAACCAAACGGTCATGAGAGACGTCATCCGACGTACTGCTTACTATCCATAAATAATGTGACCCTACACCTGAACCTAAAAATATTTCCGCCATCTGTGGATTACAAAGGCGATGATGATAGTGCAAACTAGATACCATCAAAGAACCCGCATGGGGCCGAGTTAAAAAAATTCACCTCAAAGAAATTACCAAATATGTACAACAATGTTTACAACCGTATGACATCACTGCCGGTGCCGCGTGTTCACTGACAACATACGCGGGATTTTCAGAGGAGGATTTTCGTGAACAGAGGGATAGTATAGACACATAGTGTCATGTCATGTAAGTAATCAGAAACAAATAGACAATCTGCGTACTGTTTTTTGTTTTATGTTAGACAATGTAACCAAGAGAATTTGTCAGATATGCAGATAACTACCGTCGTCGTTGTGCGTGACTTTGCGTCAGACATGGCGTCGCACAGGGCGGAAACTTTTACGATTTCTGTTGAATTTCCCTGATCATTGTAATGTTTATAATTTTTATTCCATTAGCATTCGTGCTATGGTACTCTTCCAACGAATATTCTCAAACGCGTCAGCCAATGTATACAACAATTAGACGAATTGATCTCTCAAAATGGGAGAGTGTAAAATCTGAAATTTGCTTTGTTTACATTTCAACAAACACAGTTTTTCGAGCACAGTATCCGTTTCCACGCCTAATTTATTTCGCTTGGTGTCATCTCGATAATTTGTATTGGTGACAAAGACCGTTTGTCACTTGATTCTAAAATGTAGGAGGAATTCAGGGATGCATGGATCGCAGCTGAGTTTGAAATCGTGATCTAATAGGCGTTTCATAACCCGCATACGTGAAACGTGATTTTTCTCAACACTATCCACTATGGCGGAAAGTACAATTCGGCGTTCGTGTTTGGGTATTTTCCAAAACATTCTAAACGTTTCCTGTTCCTAGGCGACGTTACAGAATTATCATTGGTGTTTTGGTGAAAAACAGATCCCCGTGATGACTAATGTGCTATTTATGAAATTCAATCCTTCGACTAAATATCCGATGTTTAGATTTCTAAACACACAGTAATTTTGCTTTGTCTAAAATGACAGTGGATGATATCACAGAAGAGGGTATTTCCAACAGAATTCAAAACTTTTAGTGTGCGTGATGCATTTCGAATTTTAGTCGACTTCGAAGTGAGAGTTGAAGAGGAGAGACATATAAATCGTCGGATCATATGTTTTCGGACATCAAACGTTTTCATACGGCCATGTTTATCGCGAATTACTCCCGCTATAACGAGAGTTGTGGTGTCAACAGACATTGTAAATACTGAGATGATGGCTTGATTTTTAGGTAAAGCTGTCTTTGATAAGTGAATGAGATGTTTTACGGTTCATGTGATGATAAGCCTCCGAAAACCCATAACACGGGAATATATCTGTTTATACTCTAAACCCTTTACTTTAGACGCAGGTGGGCATTTGACTGAAGCACGAGCAACTTATCAGAGACTTACGATCTGGAAAGTAGTCCGTCATCATCTGATCTTAGGTCATCACCATGGAGTAGCCAATCACTGGCCTGGAATTTGATCTCAGACATATGTTTGATGCCAGTTATCCCAAATGGATTTCTCACCCACAGATGTGTAAGAAATTCAAGTCTCTGTCTACAAACCATATCTCTGTTTTGGGTTAAGAGTTACAACATGTATATGATATTGATGTCACTTACTCTGCAGATCCAACCATCTCATCGACATTCAACTTTCTAATTCCCGTGAGTGTAAGCGTGGGATGTGTCCTGTTGGCTGGAGCGATGGCTGGCCTCATCATAACACTCAGAAAACGCAGTCGTCGGAGGTCGTGTGTGAACGGTGACATACTTATCACATTTCAAAACAAATTCGTGTAGATTACTTGTTTTCCTAGAAATTACTTCACTTAGTGCTCGAGAATGTTTGATTACATTAAAACTAGGTTACTATCACAGGTCAGGTCGACACTTCAACACAAACAATTATAATACAGTGTCTGCTGCAAACCGTATATACAGTAAACTACGTATATAACGAACACGCTTTTAACGAACTAACGAATCTAACGAACTGTCTTTTTGTCCCAACAATGTGCTGTATATATGCTGTATACATGTTTATAACGAACTATTGTTATAATGAGCTAGAATTGATGCTCCCATTGAGTTCGTTATAACCGTAGTTTTCTGTACAACTGATATCGGTCAATATTTGAAAACTTAATCAACTATTGTTCACTTCGAAGTATTAAAGCTTTTTTTTACGACAAATAAAACATTTTGTTTCAATTTGTATGCATGCATTTGTTAGTCAAAATGAAAAAAATTAGTAACTAATGTAATCGATAGGATGTATATTTGTGTGTGTTTCAGGAACAGCAACACCTAATGACAGGTATAAAAACTTTCGTTATGTCTTCGATGTATAGCATATTACATGTGTGTCAGACACATTTAAAGAATCATTTCACATTTAAACGAACCCCTAAACATGAGGGTAAATTAATGTAGAATTGCAAAAAGTGCATTTATATTTCCAGGACGTGTATAAACATGAATAGTAACACACATAAAGTAAGAAAATGACAATCACTCAAATCAGGATATGACGCATAGAGTGAGTGAGTGAGTATGCCTTTAGCAATCTTCCAGCAATATCACGGTGGTGAACATCAGAAGTGGGCTGCACACATTGTACTCGTGGGGAATCGAACTGGGGTGTTCGGTGTGACGCGCGAAAGCTTTAACCACCAGGCTACCCGTCCGCCCCTATCATGCTGAGGAGCTAAGACAATGTCAATGTGGTGTTCAATGTCAGCCTATTCACGCCCTGAATAATTATGATTTTTTTATTCTAACCGATGACAGGAAACCAAGAGGAAAGGCTTCAAGTTTAGGTAAGATCAAGTATTTACATATTTAAAAGTAATTACAAAAATCACCAGGTATATATAATATTTTTTGAAGCATAATAAATAATGAATCGGATGTAGTAAAACCAGTTTATTAAGGTCAAAACAGTATTTATAATATGTAGGATATGCGTTCGGGATATCAGTATTAGCTTGGTTAAATCAATAGGTCGCCGAATTCTCACGATGCCTTCGGGCAATCCTTACACCAAAAGAGAAACAACAGAAAACTTGTTATCCTAAAACAGATTCGCGTCTTGAAATGGCAATTTATTCCGAATGTGGCGGAGCCCGAGAGACATAAACGATCAGTTCGTCATATCATAAGTCTTCTGTAACATCAACAATAAAGTTGATTTACTCCCTGGTGATAATAGTAGGTCCGTTATATATTATTGTCAGTTATATCCGAAGTCATCTGATACATCAATAACACAATAATAATTACAAAATGTCAATGGATGAATCCTGAAGTGACTGCGTCAATAAATACTCAAAACAAGTGGTAAAAAAATCAATAACGACTCAATCACTGACAACAATGCTTACCCCACGTGATGTATCCATCACATTGATATAAAACTTAATCTTTCCAAAATCACCTTTCCTGATTCAGTCATGTAGGAGAACGAGCTTACATTTTATAATATTTTACGTATTGTCCATGTAAGTAAGACTTTAACATAGACCTCTAGGGGTATCAGCGTGTCGTTAAATTCGAACAGTTTAAGATGAAGCTTATGATTGTTTGTGTGTTTCAGTCATGCAGGAAAACGAGCTGTACGAAAAGAGCGAAGAACTTCAAACAGGTAAGTTCACTCAACATCCCGAAAATCTTAATATAAGTTCCTCAAAACGACTGAAATTTCGCTGACGAGAATAATTGTTGAAAGCAATAAAATACCAAGAAATCTTCTAACAGTCACATAGCGTTTTTTTCCCTAAAAAATCACTCTGGGCAATCTGGGAAACTGACTAATAGAGACGTTCATCAAACTTTGTACGAAGATGAGATGCCAGTTACCAGGCAGTCCTTTCAACACAATCAACTTTCCAAAACTGCTGCAAACCGTATATACAGTAAACTACGTATATAACGAACACGCTTTTAACGAACCAACGAATCCAACGAACTGTCTTTTTGTCCCAACAATGTGCTGTATATATGCTGTATACATGTTTATAACGAACTATGATTATAATGAGCTAGAATTAATGCTCCCATTGAGTTCGTTATAACCGTAGTTTTCTGTACAACTGATATCGGTCAATATTTGAAAACTTAATCAACTATTGTTCACTTCGAAGTATTAAAGCCTTTTTTACGACAAATAAACATTTTGTTTCAATTTGTATGCATGCATTTGTTAGTCAAAATGAAAAAATAAGTAACTAATGTAATCGATAGGATGTATATTTGTGTGTGTTTCAGGAACAGCAACACCTAATGACAGGTATAAAAACTTTCGTTATGTCTCCGAGGTATAGCATATTACATGTGTGTCAGACACATTTAAAGAATCATTTTACATTTAAACGAACCCCTAAACATGAGGGTAAATTAATGTAGAGTTGCAAAAAGTGCATTTATATTTCCAGGACGTGTATAAACATGAATAGTAACACACATAAAGTAAGAAAATGACAATCACTCAAATCAGGATATGACGCATAGAGTGAGTGAGTGAGTATGCCTTTAGCAATCTTCCAGCAATATCACGGTGGTGAACATCAGAAGTGGGCTGCACACATTGTACTCGTGGGGAATCGAACTGGGGTGTTCGGTGTGACGCGCGAAAGCTTTAACCACCAGGCTACCCGTCCGTCCCTATCATGCTGAGGAGCTAAGACAATGTCAATGTGGTGTTCAATGTCAGCCTATTCACGCCCTGAATAATTATGATTTTTTATTCTAACCGATAACAGGAAACCAAGAGGAAAGGCTTCAAGTTTAGGTAAGATCAAGTATTTACATATTTAAAAGTAATTACAAAAATCATCATGTATATATAATATCTTTTGAAGCATAATAAATAATGAATCGGATGTAGTAAAACCAGTTTATTAAGGTCAAAACAGTATTTATAATATGTAGGATATCAGTATTAGCTTGGTTAAATCAATAGGTCGCCGAATTCTCACGATGCCTTCGGGCAATCCTTACACCAAAAGAGAAACAATAGAAAACTTGTTATCCTAAAACAGATTCGCGTCTTGAAATGGCAATTTATTCCGAATGTGGCGGAGCCCGAGAGACATAAACGATCAGTTCGTCATATCATAAGTCTTCTGTAACATCAACAATAAAGTTGATTTACTCCCTGGTGATAATAGTAGGTCCGTTATATATTATTGTCAGTAATATCCGAAGTCATCTGATACATCAATAACACAATAATAATTACAAAATGTCAATGGATGAATCCTGAAGTGACTGCGTCAATAAATACTCAAAACAAGTGGTAAAAAAATCAATAACGACTCAATCACTGACAACAATGCTTACCCCGTGTGATGTATCCATCACATTGATATAAAACTTAATCTTTCCAAAATCACCTTTCCTGATTCAGTCATGTAGGAGAACGCGCATACATTTTAAAATATTTTACGTATTGTCCATGTAAGTAAGACTTTAACATAGACCTCTAGGGGTATCAGCGTGTCGTTAAATTCGAACAGTTTAAGATGAAGCTTATGATTGTTTGTGTGTTTCAGTCATGCAGGAAAACGAGCTGTACGAAAAGAGCGAAGAACTTCAAACAGGTAAGTTCATTCAACATCCCGAAAATCTTAATATAAGTTCCTCAAAACGACTGAAATTTCGCTGACGAGAATAATTGTTGAAAGCATTAAAATGCCCAGAAATCTCCCAACAGTCACATAGCGTTTCCGCCGTAAACTCACTCTGGGCAATCTGGGAAACTGACAAAGAGAGACGTTCATCAAACTATGTACGAAGATTACAAACGCCGATGAGATGCTAGTTGCCAGGCAGTCCTTTAAACACAATTACCTGTCACAACTTCTGTTTCAGTGCAAAAAATGGACACAGATGATGTCTACACTGAGGTTAAAAAGACATGAAGACGAAGCAATGGTGAGCACCAAGGTTTCCGCAGTCCATCAGAAAACTGGATGTCTTTCCGGAACTGTCCAATTGCCAACAGTAGTCCATGTGTTTGTAATATGAATTCATTTTTCATGACTGTTGTGTCGCTTGTACATAAAGCACGTAGTATGATCGCCTTGTTAACTTTAATGTCATTCTGCTGGAATTGTCAACGATATAACACAGTCTGTGCTGTTTGTTGACATCACGTTTCCATACAAAGGCGCAGAACGCCAAAATGTCTGAATTAGATTGTACCAAATTGAACGTTGTATTTACACACAGAATCATCAAACCAATAGCAACAAGTGCTTATTATGGGGTACCAGTTCTCGGTGGTACACATGGGAACACGATTGTCTCTCAATCTGAACTAAAACAAGTTCCCTTACCATAAAAATGTGTCCAATGCAATATTCCTGATTCTGACTTATGCTATTTGTTCCCGTGTTTTTTTAGTTGACCAATTGACTTGCCTTTGCATGTGATAGTGATTCATAAACAGAAGCTCATGATACAGTCGGAATCGTACACTCGAGTCTGTTTCAGCAGATATTTCTTATGATTATGCAAAAGATTTGGATGCTATAATTTATAATAATAAACAGACGGTTACCATAGGCACAACGCGCTGTCAAACAGGATATGTATTCATACCCTAACTGAATGTTGTTTCCCCATGCCAGAACCGAATAAAGCTTAGATACTGACATTTATTAATGGCGATAATATCATTTCATATTTGGATAGAATGTACACATCTACTCTCACTTTATTTGAAACAACGTTTTGCTCTTTTGATATTGCCCGACGTACTACGGATCTGAGTCAAAGACAGATGGAAAAAACAGGGGTTGGACTTGCTTCCACAATGTAAAACCTCTATGTTTGCAACACTTAATTACCGATTAAACAATTAATTTTGGTGGGCATAAGGCATGCACTGCACCTGGTATGTCACATAACGATCGGATCCACTGGACGCTAAAAGCATAAATACACGCGTACACACACACACACACACACACACACATACACGCACGCGCGCGTGCACACATATATACCGGGCCATGAGACTGATAGATCAAACACAATACATATACATTTATACAAAATAATTGTGGCAAGATGTTTTGTTCGTCATATATACTGAGTCAAAGTCTACCCCTAAACAGTTCATTTCTGGTTGATGTAGCCGTCAAAAATCGGTTACGGAGGTGACGTAAGACAATCTGACGATCCTCTGCATGTGACGTCATACGTGGTCGACCTGGCCGAGGGCGATCAGCGGTGGTACCCGTTTGCTGTAGACGCGTCTGTAAATCATGAACAGTCCGTCGACTACAACGGACGTTCCCGTCTGCAACATGCCGATGGCACGTTTACGTTGCACATTTGAAAGGCGTTGCATGACAAATGGCCGTAAAGACTTTTGTTTTCTTGTGTTTTTCTTTTTTTGTTAATGACTGCTTACAAGTATGGCTGAAAACACGTGCGGTATTATGGCCACGTGACCAATTGCACGTGAAAAAAACACTTTTGCCAATATAGTGCTGTGCACATGATTTGATCGATTCACCTGCACAAAAACGGGTGTTATCTGAAGACAATACGTGGCCATTACTGTTTAAATACACAATAAGGGCCCACATTGATAACTGGTCAAAATGTTAAAATTTTAGGATTGTGAAGTTTTTAATTTGGTTCAGTATATATATTAAATCTTATAAACTTATCCAAAGTCAAAAGATATCAAATAATAATCTATGTCTGCAGTAGAAATGGACAATTTCTGAAGTCTTAGACATTTTGGAGGCCAGCTTTAATTTTTGTCAGTACTGAGATAATTATATAGTTTCACCGGATAATTACGATATAATTAGTATAGATTGAATTTATTAAAGATTTCAGTCTTGTTGGTTGCCATCTTGGGTTTTTTATCACCACCAGGGGATGCTGCATACTAGATTTGAATTATATGCAGCATTGTTGCAATTTTTAACTCTGAATAAATTACTATGATAATATGATTAAATTGACCTGATAATTATGAGTGAGTGAGTTGGGGTTAACGCCGCGTTTAACAGTATTCCAGTTATATCACGGCGTGTCAGCTTAATGTGGGAGGAAAGCCCAAAGTGATGCAGGTCTCAGACGTTTACCACTTCTGTGAAACCCACGATCACGGGTATGGTGCTGACAAACCTAGAAACATAATCGGGGCTCTTCGGGATTCGAACCCACAATCATAGGTTTCTGGCGTGCCTAAGGGACGGAACTCTGCACAGAGTCGCCTTAGATGACTGGGCCTCCCGTACCCCCTGATAACTATGATATATCGAGTATATATTGATATTATTAGAGATTTCAGACATGTTTGTGGCCATCATGATTTTTCTGCCACCAGGTAGCGCTGATGAGCTTTATCCGTGTCCAGAAACGTTCCGAATGTTTCAATTGATAAGTGTGCCAAGTCTGGTGCTTTTAACCCAAAGTGTCATTTTTGTTGATCTTAACCTCCCCACTACCGCCACGTTTCAAGTAATATGTACATAGCATGGTGTACGGATCACAAAGAACGACATGCAGCCCATAGCCGCTGAACAATTATCCCAGAAATGAGTGTCACACAATAGCAAACTGAACTGGTGAGAAAAAGAAAGTCTACACTTGAAAATTGGATTGGACTAAAATATTACAAAGTTTATCGAAACGTTACTTGGCCGAACACAGTATGAAAACACTACTAAGATACCCTTATCAAATACATCACCATCGAATTACCATGTCTTGTTTGTTTCATTTTTAGCCACGATCAAACATGGATGTATATTTTCTTATGCCCTAAAGTTTAAACAGTGCTGCACAGGACTGAAGGTATATTTCTAGAATACAACTATTAATTAAATTCCACCTATAAAAAAAAAAGTAACACTTTTAAATGAATTTTATTCATTTAAGCAACTTTAAAGCAACAAGATGACTGAACGAAGCTAAACAATAGTAACCAATTTAGTTTAAAGGAGGTGTTTTGAATACGATTCAGATTCATAATTAACAACATGTAGTTAGATTCATGGAATTCTGAGAGATGAAATTAAGGAAATACGTAACACGGGATGGTCAATTTGCGACCAATCACCGTGTCTTGATTTGATGTGTTGTATTGGGTGGCAGTTCACCTTCCAGTGTCGTGTCTGTCATGTTGATGGTAGGGCAAACCTTGAAAGTAAAATGAATGGTTAGAATTATCATAGATAAATTAAACAGTTAATGTGATGTTTGTGGAATGTCCAACCGCAATTAGTTTTTTCAAAAACCTGTGATCTTGAGTTTGTATCTCAGATTACGTATTTAAGTTTGTCAGCACCACGCCCTTGCACGTTGTTTCTAACATCGGACTTTTTACTTTTTTTATAACATGAAGCCTTTTTGACATCATTACTTTACATATTGTTGCCTAGAGCAAACAGCCTTTGCACAAGGGTCATATGACGTTCTTTGGAATCCTCTTAGAAAGAGCATGATTGGTTGTTCCTCAAAACATATGAAATGTAGGCACCAAAGGTTGAGCCGCTGGGATATTGCTCGTCGGGAAGGGAAAGTCCCTCTTGTCATATTTTCTTATGGATAGTACTTGCCCTGCGTAACTTATAATTAAGGATTACCTCAGACATGCAGCTGGCACGTCGTGATATAACTGAGTTAATGTTTAAAGCGGAGTTAAACCTCACTCACTCACTCACCACTAACCAAGACAGATTTCAGATGGTTAGGTCCAACAACACCAGGGGTTGGTGAGATTCCCAGATACTTCCTGCTCCTTCATCTCAGTGCGGGTGGAATTCACCAGAGTGGTAAACGTGTTCATACCTTCATACATGTCTTGGTAAATATATACATTGTGTTTTAAGATTTGCGTTTCGATGAAATATTTCTGTATACTAACCTAAATGCGTATTGTTTCATTCTCACCTTGTATGTCAAGCTACTGACCTGTGTATGTATGGTTTTGTTATTACCTTATATGTCAGGCTATACACCTGTGTATGTATGGTTTTGTTCTTACCTTGTATGTCAGGCTACTCCTGTGTATGTATGGTTTTGTTCTTACCTTGTATGTCAAGCTACTCCTGTGTATGTATGGTTTTGTTCTTACCTTGTATGTCAAGCTACTCCTGTGTATGTATGGTTTTGTTCTTACCTTGTATGTCAAGCTACTCCTGTGTATGTATGGTTTTGTTCTTACTTTGTATGTCAAGCTACTCCTGTGTATGTATGGTTTTGTTCTTACTTTGTATGTCAAGCTACTCCTGTGTATGTATGGTTTTGTTCTTACCTTGTATGTCAAGCTACTCCTGTGTATGTATGGTTTTGTTCTTACCTTGTATGTCAAGCTACTCCTGTGTATGTATGGTTTTGTTCTTACTTTGTATGTCAGGCTACTCCTGGATATATGTGGTTTTGTTCTTACCTTGTATGTCAAGCTACTCCTGTGTATGTATGGTTTTGTTCTTACCTTGTATGTCAAGCTACTCCTGTGTATGTATGGTTTTGTTCTTACTTTGTTTGTCACGCTACTAACCTGTGTACATATTGTTTTGCTTCACTCGATGTTGTTAGTTGTCTTCCTTCGTTGCTCTCTTTTCCTGAAATGGCCTGAAATCAACAAACATTCCACAGTCTGACAACCTATCTTTAATACTTTATTTTTGCTGCAGTAAACATATCAAATACATACTGCTATATGGCTTCATTCATTTATTAAATGGCTGTACTTCCTAGCCAATTGGTCCATTTTTACGTGATCCTTAGTATACAATAGCTCAAGTTAATATGACCTCATCATATTGGGAATTTGTAAAATGTTAGTGCGCGTATACGTAACTATGTGTAATTGTATAAAATGTCCAACTTCATGTAAAGATTTGACTCCTTGTGTACGGCCGACAGCGATAACGGTGTACCGGAAGAACTGCTCCGCTCACTCGGTGTATCTCGGAGCTGTTTGGTCGGTTTGTTTGTTTGTTGTTTTACGCCGCACTCAGCAATATTCCAGCTATATGACGGCGGTCTGTCAATAATCGAGTCCGGACCAGAAAATCTAGTAATTAATATCATGAGAATCGATCCATGCAATTGGGATCGATGACATGCATCAACCAAGTAAGCGATCCTGATCACCCGATAAGTCGCCTTTTACGACAAGCATGGGTTGCTGAAGACCTATTCTACCCCGGATCTTTCAGGGTATCTCGGAGCTGGAGCTCCTCTCATCTTATGCATGTGTGGGCTGCAACTCCTCTTAGGCCATGTATGTCTGAGCTGCAATTCCGCACAGCTCATGTATCTCTCCGCTTCAACTTCTTTCACCTCATGTACCTCTTGAGTTGAATTCAGTTCAGCTCATACACTTCTGAGCTCGACTTCCGTTGAGGTCATGTACCTCTGAGCTTGAAGTCCGTTCAGCTCATATATCTCTGAGCTTGAACTCCGTTCAGCTCATGTACCTCTGACCTTGAACTCCGTTGAGCACATGTACCTCTGAGCTTGAACTCTGTTCAGCTCATGTACCTCTGAGCTTGAACTCTGTTCACCACAAATACCTCTGAACTTGAACTCCGTTCACCACATGTACCTCTGAGCTTGAACTCAGTTCAGCTCATGTATCTTTGAGCTTGAACTCCGTTCACCACATGTACCTTTGAGCTTGAACTCTGTTCAGCTCATGTACCTCTGAACTTGAACTCCGTTCACCACATGTACCTCTGAGCTTGAACTCAGTTCAGCTCATGTACCTCTGAGCTTGAACTCCGTTCACCAAAAGTACCTCTGAGCTTGAACTCAGTTCAGCTCATGTACCTCTGAGCTTGAACTCAGTTCAGCTCATTTACCTCTGAGCTTGAACTCCGTTCACCACATGTACCTTTGAGCTTGAACTCTGTTCAGCTCATGTACCTCTGAACTTGAACTCAGTTCAGCTCATGTACCTCTGAGCTTGAACTCCGTTCAGCTCATGTACCTCTGAGCTTGAACTCTGTTCAGCTCATGTATCTCTGAACTTGAACTCTGTTCAGATCATGTACCTCTGAGCTTGAACTCCGTTCAGCTCATATATCTCTGAGGTGGATTTAGATCTCCTGTCACATCGTGTGTCTCTGAGCTTGAGCTCATCTCACTTCCTAGCACGTGTGAGCTCCCAGATTTCTAAGATGCTTATGATGATTAAACAGAATTGTGATGTGGACTTGCTTTGCAAAATGATGAACGTAACAATCATTATATGAAATGGAACAAAGTATGGTTAGGGCAAAGAGAATCAACCTTCTATGGTGTTTCACTATCTTGTATATATTATGTAAATCGATCATTATGTTGTTGATTTTGTTGTGAATTCAATTCTGCATCATGCTTCAAAAATCAAGAATATATATATATGCATGGTAGGTCTGATGTATACGTCATCCTACACATTCACACGGATTTGGATTTTAAAAAATTGCAAAAAAAAGTCAAACTTACAGACTTCTTCCTGATTTTTCGGCCTCCTCGGCTGTAACAGATATGACGAACAAGTCAGTTTGTAATAAATTTGCTGTGAACATTATTTCAGCTGTGTCGTGGAATTAGCATCGTGAGCTACGTTGCCCTTAGTCGTGCCTGGATTTTATTATGTGTTTGGTTGTGTGTTGTTTAACGCCGCACTCAGCAATATTCCAGCTTTGTGACGGCGGTCTACTAATAATTGAGTTTGGACCAGACAATCCAGTGACGTCATTAGCATCGATCAACGCAACTGGGATACGATGACATGCATCAACCAAATCAGCGAGCCTGTGCACCCGATCCGTTAGTCGCCTCTTACAATAAGCATTTGTTGCTTTTGTTTTTGACCGCAGTCTGGATCGTGTCGGCAATAAGGCAAATGAGGGGTTGACAGCCCGATCACTGACCCTAGCCGTGGGGGCACAATGCCACAATCGGACATTAAACACACCCAATCCTGATTAATCAGGTGTCAGAACAAGCATGGGATACTCAGGTCCAACTGAAGTGTTTTAGAGGCTTATCAGCTGAAATTATCCGAAACTTGATCATACATATTCTGTGTCCTTATAAAATCACATTGACAGAATAAACAAGCTTACCTTGTGCCCGCATTGCGTCTAACATCGCCTGCTTTTCCGGGGCCAGCTGAAGCAAAAACAAACCTTAGACGACGCGAGGATAAGGGAGGTAGCACTATATAACTAAGAGAAACGAGGGTAGGGGAATTAGCACAACACAACTAGGGGACACAGGGAGAGGGGACTAATGCAACACAACTAGGCGATATGATAAGGGAATTAGTGCAATGTCACTAGGGGACACGAGCATAAGGGAATTAGCACAACTGGGGTCACGAGGGTAGAATAATTAGCACTACACAACTAGGGGACACGAGAAGGTTACTTATACTAGCACAACAAAGCTAGTGGGTGAGAGGATAAGGAAATTAGCACAACTAGGGGACACAAGCATAAGAGAATTAACACGACGTAACTAGGGTATTCCCTGATAAAGGAATCAGCACAGCACGACTAGGGGCATAAGAAGAAGGGAACTGGCACAACCCATCTAACCTAGGAGATGCGGTAAGACAATTATCACTATCAACAAGAGGATACGAGATGGGAATTAGCACTTGTTGGCACAAGGAGAAAGGATCTAGCACAACACACCTAGAGGACACGAGGAAAAGACAGTTATCACTAACAACAATGCGAGATGGGAATTAGAACTTGTGGGCACAAGGAGAAAGCATCTAGCACAACACACCTAGAGGACAAGAGTAGAAGGGAACCAGCGCAATTAAATAAGGTGACACGATTAGAAGCGAACAAGCACAACACAACTAGCACTGCATGAAATAGTAATTCCCATGTGTGCCTTCATGTCTGTAATAATGTTGTGAATTGTTTGATTCTGTGGCGACATCACCTATGGAAAATGATATTAACATTTACAACCATGGCTGAATATGCCAAATGTTAGGAATGCATGCTCATAAAAGGAGTTGTTTCCGTGAATGAATTGTATGTGATCAGTTTTTAACAGGATTGAAATTAATGGAAATAGAAAACTGCCTGAACTTGTTCCATGGGGTTTGAATATGATGCAAATGACACAATTATTTACACATACCCCAAAGGTGATGAAATGGCAGTGGGAATGCTTGTCTGTCATACGACAAATACGACGTTCGAAACATAGTGGACATACGTTAGAATTATCGATAGAGTTTCTGTATATTGTAACCTGATATCAAACCACAGTGTCAAGGTACTGGCTCATTACGCATGTGGTACGCCATGACGCGGAGTTGGCGTACTAGTGGAGATTGTGGGTTTGTTAAGGCTCTTCATGATAACCTACTTGGGTTCCTTTGTTGTGAGGGGCGGTCGGGTAGCCTAGTGGTTAAAGCGTTCGCTTGTCACGCCGAAGACCCGGGTTCGATTCCCGACATGGGTACAATGTGTAAAGCCCATTTCTGGTGTCCCCCGCCGTGATATTGCTGGAATATTGCTAAAAGCGGCGTAAAACCATACTCACTCCACTCCACTCTCCTTTGTTGTGAACCTGATGCATGCGCCTAATGTTTGTTTGTTCACTCTCAGCACTATCCACAGCTATATGACGGTGGTCGTTAAATACTCGAGTCTGAACCAGATTATATTGTGATTGACATCATGAGCATATAACAATGCAGTTGGGATACGATGACATGCATCAACCTCACCTAGATCTTCACGGGTCGCCGATTTATGACACAGATAGATACTGAGTCTTAACCAAGCAGAGGAATGGGTATTTCGATCAATGTTTCCTGTTGACCTATGACCCATGTCCGTGACAAACAGAATGCATTGTAATGGTAATTTAAGACCTGCAGATTAATCTTTCCTTTTATTGTTTACTCCGAGGCACTTACATGACCACAATTACTCACGGGTACATTTTGCAACATCATTTAGTCATGTCTATGAATTAGTCCTAAATGTTTATGTTTAATTCAATTATCATTGTATCCTTCATTTCGAGAGAAATACCAGTAAATATTTTTTTAATTTGAAGTTTACACGATATACGGCTTTTCCATTGGACGAGAGGTCGGTCACATGACCGCGAAATTGACATTCATAAGTGTATGAACGACACAATTTGACGTTCATACGTTTTTCACGAGACGGTGTTCTTGAAATGATGTAAACACTGACGGACTACTTCCACATTCCTGGGGAAACCCCGGGGAATTCCATGGCACGAAAACATACATAAGCGTTCTTTCTGATCATTTAGAAACTTTATTCTTGGTCTCAGCGTTTCAGTATACATTGAGAAATGTCAGAGAGCTTGACTGCATGATTGTTCACGAATATCGTCGCTACGGCCTATCCTTATGAACAAACGAAGAAATGCACATCTAAACTATCGTAGTATCGACTCGATTCGTGTCTAGGCTGACACTGACCGTCTCCAGCAATCTATGAATTTACCTTAGTGTCTGTTTGACGCATCTTTATTCACCTTTCAATGATCGGCCAGTTGATCAATGGTGACTAACACATGTAACCGCCACAGGTTCATTAACAACTTCGGAAATCTCCCCCGTCACGTTTATCGTGTCGGCCATTTTGACGTCTTGTACTTGATGTAAATGTATTACGACGCGCTGTCATTGTGACTGACTTACTCATGTAGTTCTTTACAGAACTTTCTCATCTAATGAGGATATGATTTGAACACATGTGCTGCGTGAGATGTTTCTAAAGAGCAAGTTGTGCATCCATACGCTCATGTCACCTCTCTTTTTGATGAACTATTTTACTCCGCGATATTGCTGGTTGTTGTATGGCTGTCTGTGTAAACATGAAGTCAAACGTACTAAATAAAATTGTGTGTAGATCTTGGCCTACATCCTTTAAGGTAAGAAATTGTGACAAGCTCCGACGTTCATACAATTTGGCCCTCACTCTATGAAGGTTCATACTCCAATGAACTCACACGAAGTGAAAGTCAATTCTTAAATTTCATCAGATGTCAAATGTTTCACTGATATCGAAAACACCAATATTTAAGCGTCAGCTTACTGATCATGACACATAAACAGAAGTGGTTGTGTGACAGAAATGTTCTTCTAAAGGTGTCACGCATAACGATATAAAACATATTTTAAATTTTGAAAGTTAATTATCAAAATTGAAAGAATGCCATTGGCGTAATCGTCTTAAATGTAGATGTTATATGTGACAATTTCAGTAGATTGATGTCAATCTCTCCTAAATTATAGAGTAATGTGTACTTTATGTGGTTTAAAAATATCACAAATATCACTCTTTGTTTTAGATCGTATATTTGATAAAAAGGACGTAGATTTCGAGAGAAAGTTGGTGTCAGTGCGGATGACCCTTGCATCTTCTTCACACTCATGTCACTCAGCTTGCGGCCTGCTTGACGCTTGATGTACTCGAAAATGTGTGAGTACGCTTTCATTTGATGCTTAATGGGTGTGGAGAGAGTAATATCCATGATGACCCTTGTAAGTCGATCTTTCTTTACACTTGTCTGTGGGGATGCCGTTGCCGTGGTATTAAATGCTGATATACCAGTTTCAACCCACAGACAGGCTTGCGTTGTGTGTTATGTTAAAGGAAGAGTTGTTTATATAGATAATTAATTGTGTGTTCACAAATCCCTTTAATTTAGTTTTATTTTCTGAATAGCTTTTTGTTTAAATGGAAATTTAGGTATTTAAGTATTTTTCACATAGGTAGAAAGTCATGCACAGTAAGTGAAATACAGGCTGACTATAGGTTGAGTATTATAATACATCACAATACGATTGTATACACGATAAGTTACGAATACAAAGAGGTGTATGCGATGACTAATTGAAATGTATTTCGCAGATACAAATCAATAGAAGGTGTGACAGCTATATACAAATATACACGTATGACTGTGGGATTGACAACAGCTGAGTGAGTTACATGTGGCTTTGATATATACAAAAATTGAATTGTATTTTTACGAAAAAAGTAAAGGGGAGATGTTTGTTTGCACTTAATGCCCAAAACGTATTCCACAAATTATCTATTCATGAGATTTGTTTCCTTTGCTAGTTCTGTTGTCAACTATTTATTCTCACCGTTCCAACGCCAGGGTGCATGAGACAGTTATGTTCACAAAATCCAAACAATATATTTTAATACCCTCAACAATACGAAACGCATAACCAATTGCATTACAATGAATAGTGTTTCATTCACCAAAAGCGCTTCAGACTTGTTGAAATATGCCATGTTTTGAGTAGTATAGAAATATATTTACCTTGGCTAAATTTTAAAAATCGACTATATCTTGCGTCTGGCTTGAAGAGAAGTATAACATCAACTATTGTTTGTAAAACACATGTGTGTGCGTTAAAATGTGTGTTGTTTGAAAGAAACGTGTTTTTATATATACTAATTTGTTGGTTCACAAATCCTTTTTATGTAATTATATTTTCCTGAATAAAATTGTGTTTAAATGGAAAATATAAGTTATGTTTCACCGAAGTGTAAAGTTACAGAAAGTAACAGACTGTGTATTATTGATCCAAAGCAACACGATAGCATACACGATTAATTAAGAATAAAACAGGTGCATGCACTGATCAATACCAATTTTACAGTATTAAAAGAAAAAAGGCAGGGACAGATGTGTTTTCACACAGCTTGAATCTAGGGGAATTGGTCAAAGCTATGTGAAAGATTCGTTTTGCTTCTCAAAGCTGTTAATGTGACAAAAGCCAACTTCGCCATAAACGCAGACAATTCGAAAGAAAAGTCAAAGTTGGGACCGAGTCCAAGGTTCGACATTTCATCTTTACCTGGCAATACAGTTGACATGAACTGTGTATTTGTTACAGAAATATGACACAAAACTTATTCCTATAATCATCTATTTAAGATCATTTGTTTCCCTTCAAGTTCTGTTTTCAATTATATATTCTCACTGTTCTAACGCCAGGACAGTTGTGTTCACAAAATATATTTGAAAGAAAAAGGTTCATTTTCCAAACGATATTTTTGATATCGCAACAAAACCATTTGACTTTCGTTATACTAATGATAGTAACTTATGTGATAAGATAATAGCATAACATGGTGGCATTGATCTATATCTGACCCCGAATCAAGTATTAGTGCTTTCATTACATACATGGAATTTCCCTCACGCCACTGCGAGAAGGCAATAAACACTAAGAAGTAAAGTTCCACCCGGGATTCGAACCCAGACTCTCAGAGTGAGGAACATAATCGCCGGCACACAAAGTCAGCGATCTAAACCACTCAGCGACCGAGTCTTCCCAAGAAAGTGTTATCCAGAATATACCATTTGTTTGACCACTATATAAGACATTGTGTATTCGTAGCTTTCGGCCATGGGAGACGTGCCAATTTATACTTATCTAGACTACCAGGTGTCGGACTTCCATTTGTAAGCCTCAGGTGCCTCTCTGTGAGAGAGTGGGTTCAAATCCCGAATGAGACTCAACCCTAAAAGTACTTGAATTTGTACTCTACCGAGAAAACGTCGTCCCATTTATAACATTTGTTACATTTGACCACGTTCTAAAGGGCATTGTAAATCAATATAAATGTACATAAATATAAAAGGAATCAAATAAAACTTTTGCTAACTAACTAAACTTCTCCACAATGTGATTGTAGTCGTGCATGGGAAGTTTGGATCACAAACCTGTGCTAAATAACTCTGATAGGGATATAACTAAAACTGCACGTATTTCAAGCAAGTGTACATACACCAGCGGGAAAAAGGTAACTGTAAAATAAAGTTTTCGGAAAATAAACAATTCATCTTGCAATACATATTCATGAAGACATCTCCTCGACTTTAAGGTCGTGGCTCACAATTTAAATGCAGTAAGATTGTATTAAATGAAATAACTACCCAAAAGGAAGAAGTATAGAAATATTACTTATCACTAAGAGCTGACCTGTTCGATATTCTAAAATCCATACAACGCTTACTCCTCGTCTGTTATACAGCATTGTCATGTAATATCCAGAATTGAGAGAAGAAATACAGTATGTAATAAGGAATGGACCCCGAAGCGAATTAGCAAAGGAATATACAAAATGTAACATTTTTGCCAATGTTTATAATCGCCATGTCTTCTTAAACTGTTTAAATAGAGATGATGGAAGACCATTAAATATTAGCATTCTTTATTATTGCAGAAAACAATGGCATTGATGAAACAACGTGTCATTTTGCTATGATAAAATTCTCTAGGTATCTATATACAAATGTTTTCGAATCCTAAACAACTTGTGGTAATAACATTATCAATATTCGCCTATGGAAACTATTATTTCTCCGTTTCATTTCATTTTGAGAGACCTTTCATGTGACGATAGTTCTATTTACGTCTTTATTTAGGCAAATGAAACAGATAATATGACACTCTCTTCTTGTCCTGGAGGATCTCCACTTACCGGTCGGTCGTTATACTTGACAAATGCACCCTCCGCGACAGCGCCCAATACCACCACCAGTAACACGACAACAGCGATCTTCATTTTTCAACTGCAACAGTGAAACTCAACATTTATATCATCCCGAATTTCATATGTTGGAGCCTATATATCATCGCGTGTGTTCTTGACAAGCAGATTAGGGGACCGTAGACCTAATGCAGGTGTTTGGACGTAGGATTTAGCCTCATGTGAGTGAACGGGTTGGGTTTAACGCTGCTTTGAACAGTATTCAGTATATCATTATGTGTCAATTTGGTGTGGAAGAAATGCCCTAAAGGGTGGAGGTCTACTAGTATTTACAACTTTGGTGGAACCTACGAGCACGGATACGGTTCTGACAACTCTAGAAACATAATCGGGGCGAATCGGGATTCGAATCCTCGATCATAGGTTTCTGGCGTGCCCAAGGGACGCAACTCTGCACAGCGAAATGCGGCGCCTTAGACTGGACCACCTGTGTCCCAGTCCACTATTAACAGTGTTGTGTGTTAATGAAATAACTTCTGACTAATCACAAGGTATTATTGGTTTCTGAACGCAACACTACAGAGTGAATTGCGCCACTTTAGTCGACTGAGAGTCCGCCCGGAGAGCGGAAAATCCGGGATTCGATCCCCGGCCGCGTCATACTAAAAGACGGTACTTGTTGTTACCCTGTCTGGCGCATTAAGGGGCTAAAACAAGAACTGTCGGCTCGGAGTCAGAATACTGTGTCTGAGTGGGGTATTCATGTTAAGCTGCAGTATGGTATCTCAGTGGGCTTGTACTATCAACTCGGCAGTACGGACTAGTACAGGCAGCCACACACACACACACACCCACCCCCCCCCCCCCCCCCCCCCCCCCCCACACACACACACACACCCAACCCCACACACCCACACACACATACGCACACACACACATGCATGCACGAAGCTATATAGCTGCAATAATCTTTGGCGCGATGTTAAACTCCATTTCACATCACCTAGTGGACTGGGCATTCCGCCCCCCTACAACAGACAGTAACAGCGATGTAGATCTTACCTTGTGTAGGCTATGTGTCTTCGTTGCTCTTTGCGGCAAATACAATGAGTAATCGTTTCAACCCGGTATTTATAAGCCCCATGTAATTGAATTTATAGAGATGTTATTGTCGCAACAGCAGTTGCCTTTCAGACAGCTGTTTATAAATTCCCACAGTATGTGTGGCTGTGATTTAACTGGTATACAGTGACATTCCGTTAATCCGACTGACATTGTTCGGATTAACGAATCATGTTGATATATTTGCAGAATGATATCACGCTGTATAGTATGCACTTCAAGTAACTGTTTGATTGGCATTCTTGAGGTTGGTAAGAAAATAACAAAATGTACAAGTTCTTGGGAAAGGTCAAGTTTACTGGAGTAGAATTTCTTGGCTCTCTTGTTTGGTGTGGAGATGATACCACATTTAGTTTTAGGGGAGTGATTGGAGTTGACATGTATGTACTGGTTGCCACGGAGCTGAACTCCAATGATCCGGTGTGTCATAAAACTTGAATAAAGTGATAAAAAATACGTGGTAATAGGTTTACAGGTTTATTAAATAACTACTACGTGTACTAATGGTTGACAATTACAAACAAATTCACTCTGCGCTCACACAGATCACACATTAATTCTATCAGCGCAAATATACAAACAAGTTTTAGCCAAACAACTGTATTACAGGTGTCCTTCCATTAGTCATACGGCCCATTAGTCATACGGCCCATTAGTCATACGGCCCATTAGTCAGTCATACGGCCCATTAGTCATACGGCCCATTAGTCATACGGCCCATTAGTCAGTCATACGGCCCATTAGTCAGTCATACGGCCCATTAGTCATACGGCCCATTAGTCATACGGCCCATTAGTCAGTCATACGGCCCATTAGTCATACGGCCCATTAGTCATACGGCCCATTAGTCATACGGCCCATTAGTCAGTCATACGGCCCATTAGTCAGTCATATGGCCCATTAGTCATACGGCCCATTAGTCATACGGCCCATTAGTCATGCGGCCCATTAGTCAGTCATACGGCCCATTAGTCATACGGCCCATTAGTCATACGGCCCATTAGTCATAACGCCCATTAGTCATACGGCCCATTAGTCATACGGCCCATTAGTCATACGGCCCATTAGTCATACGGCCCATTAGTCATACGGCCCATTAGTCATACGGCCCATTAGTCATACGGCCCATTAGTCAGTCATACGGGTTAAAACAACATATGGTATGGTTGACTGCACCAACAACTACCTTTGTTATACCCACAATTAAAGTGGAATGATCCAAGATACACAAAATTACAACTTTTAATACTTTTAATAATCTTTCAATACTCCTCGGCATAGCATATATATTCAAGATAGCACATATCATCATCAATGACCGATAATCTTATATGACATATATACATAAATAATCACATTAAGTAATCACTGTAAGTTAACATTTTGAGTTTGCAGTTTCACATTGAGTGGTCAGATACAGATAATCAGCAGCATCCAGAAACTGAACACAGTTTTTCTGACCTTCTTGGAGTTGGTCCCACAATCTGATGAGTCGGTTTTCCTTCTCGCGATACACTCGCTTTCTGCCTTGGGGAGCAGCACCAAAGTCAGTTTGACGCATCTTGGCAGAGTCAGACTTCTCAATATGCTTGATAAGTTCAATAAAACGATAAATGTCTGGATGATGATGTGGCAGAGACTTGTTTAGTCGGTAGTGGAAGCCTTCCAGATTATTGTTCGTGCGAGGCGCAATGTTTCGGTGGTGATTCCATAGAGGGATGGAGAATCTAGCATCATCATCAACCCAAGTTGTAACAATATAATCATTTACTCTCTGAGCGTTGTCTAGTTCTGGCGTATCGTCCATGGCGTCGACCCAGGCATCTTGGACGTCAGCTTCCGGTAACAGAGCCATGGATGATGCTGTACATCGCCTAGAAGCAACATATTCCACTTCAATCAATCCTGCCATGATAACAAGAGTGATATGCTAGAGTCTTACTTACTTACTTACTTTGGAGATTTAACGTGCGCTTTCCGACTGATGCGTATTTCGCACACGGGCCCGGCCAGGCCATTTAATGTGTTTCCGAAAGGGGCGAAAGTGGTCTGTGCAACCCAAGAGGGGGGTTTAGGGGTTGCTTATATAGAATTTGGGAATTTTGAGATTTGGAATAGATGCCGATGGGGTTGGGGAGGAGAACTAAGGGAGCTGGGTATGGTGGATGTTTGTTTGTTTATGTGATTTTGATTTGGTGGATTATAGTGTTTTTAGATGCTTTTTATTAGTTCCGTTTTTATTAAGAATACGCCTAAGGCCTTGAAGTTTTCTAGAGCCTAAAACATAGACACTTTTATGTACTAGTTTGTGTTTTTGTAACTCAGTTAAGAACAGTAAATAGTTTGAGATGAATCCTGTACTTGTTCCTAAAATATCAAAGGTATTTATTTAAACTAATCCCAAGCTTTCTAATTAGTGGACTAATCCATTTTGACCAAAGGGTATATGCCTATTGTTGTTTTAACTAATCCCTCATTTGCTGTTTAACTATTGGGAGTATGACTAATGGGCGTATGACAAATGGGCGTATGACTAATGGGACATGACCGTATTACAGCTATAAAAAGGATGGTAGCTAAAACAACCCCTTGACAAGGTGTGGGCCCGGTGGAACGACTGCCAATAAAGTCGACTCTGACCAATTAACACCCGAGTCAATTAACTCCACACTCTAATGAGTATATGACCTCGGCTCAGTAAACAAAGGGGAAATAAACACCGTGAGCATATCCCTAAAATGAGTCACTCAGACTATAAAACTAGACGATTACGTCTGAATAATAACTAGTCTTAATCGACTAAAATTTATGTCACTTTGACTGAACAAAGAAATACTAAAGCTCCCAAATAGTGAGTTAATCACGGGATGGTTAGTTGTGTATGGATTACTAGAAAAACAGAGTATCGGGAACACTGGTCACTAAGTGCCTAGTCAAACACGGGAAGGTTGGTTATCCACGTTGCTGTCTGGACACCTGCCATTCTGAACAATAGTCACATATTACGCCACGAACTGTCAGCATCCCGTGACTTAGACACAGTTGGTGTAGCCGAAAATACAATACAATACAATACAATACAATACAATACAATACAATACAATACAATACAATACAATACAATACAATACAATACAAAACAATACAATACAATATAGTTTATTAAAGTCTCACCATTTGTACAGCAGGGATTTAAGTAAAGCATTTTAAGTATCTAAAAACTTAAAAGTACAAATGCCACCCACGGGGGTTACGAGAGACTATATCTTACACAAATGTAAGTGCTTTATAAAATAATATAAAATGAGATAAAATTATACATAATATTATAATCATATTCACAGTTTAGGAATATAAATAATAAGAATGTAAGTGAATAGATAAACAGTTAAATATATTGTTAAATTATACATAAAAATAATTTTCTACGCATAAACATTTTGAAGCACATGCTTCCTAAAAGTGGTAAGTTACAATGATTATTTAAAATGGTGATATCTACTGGTGTATGATAGAACATATTCTTTAGATAAGATGTACGAATATCGTCATAAAAGGGACAGTGTAAAAGAAAGTGGGTTTCGTCTTCAACTTGGTCTGTACAATATTTACCAAAAGCGTTGTGTAGCCGGGATAGGAGGGGAGCAGTATCGGCCCGTTTCAATCTCCAGTTTTAGGGAACCACATCTCAGGGAAGCAAGTATCCATCGCTGGTATCTTGGGAGTCGAGTGTAACTCTCAGTGAACAACTCAGTCTTAAAAAGTTTGAAAGTTCTTAACTTTGGTGTTGACTGGACGCTGTCTTTCCATCGCTGTTTGTCAATGGAGACAAGTTTGGATAAAATGCTATTTAAAACCCATGGGGATGACTTATCAGAGGTATTAGCAAATTAGCAGATCACTGTAGATACGTTGTAGCTTTTTCTCCCAGGACTTTCCTCTTGTAAGTGACCACTGGTGGATCCTGTAGGTCAGTCTTGTCGTTGGCATTCGTTGTAACCTACGCCACAGTCGGGCAGCCTCCATATACAGTTTAGACTGACAGTCCAACCACCCCATATCTCCTCGAACGGCGGTGTTACATGTATTTCTTGACACTCCGAGGAAGACACGGCATGCTCTGTTCTGTACACTTCTTTATACTTGTTAACTCCCCACAGACCAGAACAGTAGGTTAAAACAGGTTGAACGATGCTTTCATAAAGTCGGGTAAAAACATCAAAGTGCATATCACCGCAGGTGTAAAACTTGTGACAAAGATTCCTAGAGCACGTGAAGCAGATTTGACCAGTTCTTTAACGGCATAGCGTAAGTCACAATGCACGTGTAGCCACAAACCTAGATAACGGTAGCTGTCTGCGTAATCGAGTGTCACATGGCATGGCCACAGTGGAAAGTCCCGTAATGTTGAGGCACACTTTTCCTCCTGAAATGTACAACGCTCGTCTTGCTTGCGTTTATGCTGACTCGCCACTTCTTTGTCCACAGATAAAGTATGTTCAATAACATCTGAAGACTTTCAGGATCAGGGCTGAGTAAAACAATGTCGTCTGCATATAAGAAAACGGAAAAATTAAAATTGTCAATCTGTATACCGCAGTTGCTCTCTTTCAACTCCTCAGCGAGATCGTTAATGTATATAGCGAACAGCGTGGGTGATAAAACACATCCTTGCTTCATACCAGATTCAACAGGGAAGATATCCGTCTCATAGTTGTTTACTTGCACAGAACATAAAACGTTGTCATACAGCGATCTGATAGCTTGAAGAATATTGCCTGATATGTCATAGTCCATGAGCTTAAACCACAACAAGTCTCTATTTACAGAATCAAATGCCTTCTTAAAATCGATGAAACAAGTATAAGTAGTTTTTTTCTGTTTTTTTTCTGTTATTTACAATACTATATAAACTATATACATGATCAAGGCAGGACCGTCCTCTTCTAAAACCGTTTTGCTCGTCGACCAATATGTCCCGGGACTCGAGATATTTACACAATCTGTGATTGATGACGTCAGCGTATATCTTGGAGGGTATAGATAAACTGGTTAGTGGTCTGTAG